ACATTTAGTTTATTTTGTGTGTTTATTTTTATTTAAGTTTTAATTAATTTTGTTGACAATTTTTATTGTTATTCATTAAGTTAATTGGATGTTGGATGGTTTATTCATTAATCCAGCGTCCAGTCCCATCAAGGAATGATTTTTGTTTTGTTTTTGTTCGACAAGTTTCAATATTTTTTCAAACTCTCGAAGGTTTTGAGTTCTTGGAGAGCACTTTCACTGGCTTCTCAGTGTCTCCACTCATTTGCATTACTTTCAATCTTGACTTTTAGTACGTAGAATTGGCTTAGCCGTCATATAAAAACCTCCTTTCGAACTAATATGATTTCAATTCACATGCCCCTCTGCCAAATCGACAATTTTCAATATTTTTCCAAACTCTCGAATGTTTTGAGTTCTTAGAGAGCACTCTCACTGGCTTCTCAGTGTCTCCACTCATTTGCATAATTTTCAATCTTGACTTCTAGTACGTAGAATTGGCTTGGCCGTCATATAAAAACCTCCTTTCGAACTAATATGATTTCAATTCACATGCCCCTCTGCCAAATCGACAATTTTCAATATTTTTCCATACTCTCGAACGTTTTGAGTTCTTAGAGAGCAATCTCACTGGCTTCTCAGTGGCTCCACTCATTTGCATAACTTTTAATCCTTGATGTGGTTGGACGCTGGATTAATGAATAAACCACCCAACATCCAATTAACTTAATGAATTAAACTTCAGAATTCAACAATTCGAACTGAAATAAAAATATAATAAAAAACTGACAAAAAATAGAATACATGTTTTTAACTGAAAATTGAAACTTTGAAAATGAATCAGATGTCTCATCCATCATCCAGTATTTCTATATGCTAATCGAATACTTCACATGAAATGTCAAATGAGATGTAGAGTATTTTTGAAATCCAACTTATTTATTTATCCATAAAATATAACTCATCCATGGATAAACTAACATCTATTCTATCCATGGATGCACTATAACTCTCCTCTATCCAAGTGGATCTCTCTCTCTTTCTTTTCTTCATGAATAAATTTTTGATGGATGGTGGATGTATCTTATCCATTAAAAAAACATCCATGGATATTACTTATCCAGTCCTTTTAAAAACAAAATCTATCCATGGATGAATGGATGTTGGATAATGGATAATTTGGGGGACCATTGATAGAGAGCCGTCTTGACTTAGTTCCATAGTTAGATATTTTTATGCACGAAGTCGGATTGTGAGATCAAATTTTCTTCAGATGCACAAAGATAGGTTTTGAATGCGAAGAAGGGAAAGAAAATGTAGCATTGCTTTATATTCTTTCTAAAACAAATAAAAGTAAATTCGAGAGAAAATGGATTTTCTGTCTTTTTAGTCATCGCAAGAAATGAAAACCAAGTGATTCTTTTGTTTCTTAAAATTTGTTTCGTTTTTATTAATATAATAAATCGAGTTGTTTTAGCAATCTCTTTTGACTAATTGCATACGATTCCTTAATACCTATGCACATTGGTGTTATATTGAGTATTTTTTGGCAGAATAGCATTCCGCACGGAACTATATACGGATATGATTCCATAAATTTATCTATTGATTGTGCATTCCCTTTTCTATTGTATTTTATGTTTAATATTAATAATAATCTAATACACTTATGTTCTAAATTTAAGTCAATGTCTATCTAATTTTTATTATAAACGTTTGTACCATTTTACGTTTTATGCTAATAGCATAAAAATCCATCTATTCTTCGATCTTCAATGTAACATTGTCTATTCCGTGCAATTGAATTTGATGTATTTGCGATTTACGACGATACGATTCAACCGTGAATATCGTTGGTTCACCTTTAATTTTGAGAATTTTTTCATTATTATGTTCAACTATTGACATCACTTTTGATTTAGTCATCTTTTCTGTTATTGTTGATATTAAAAGACCGAGTAAAATGGTCAGGACAGTTCCAAGGAACGAATACCACATATAACTTATACGAAATATCGCTGGACTGCTACTTGAAAAAAGAGAAAGCATTTAGACTATGGAATATCATGAAGACGTAACATTTGGGTTCAACTTACTATAAACTTGTGCCGGTATTTTGCTGAGGCACATTTTGGTGTGTGGTTGAATTAGAAACAAAACAATCGCATGTATTCAATGATAATTCCAATGGTTCCACTTCAGCATTTTGTAAGAGTGCCATTATTCCAATGTAAACGACAAGAATCAATGAAATTATACCGCCATACAAAGCTCCCTGTTGAAAAAACATTAAACAATTGATGAACTTGTCTAAATAAATCGAGGTACACGTGTCTTCAACAGCGTTACCTTAGTATTGGCACTTTTGAAGAAAACGCCGAGTGAAAACAATCCAAGTGTGACGCCCCCAATGAGGCCATTCAATGTAAGAGTGACTTGTAAAATTCCTCCTAATTGTTCAACCACAAATACCAGCAAAAATGATAAAATTCCATATCTACATCCGGAAGAATTTTAAAATTGACTGGTTAATTAACACATAAAAGGCTATATTCACAAAAATTATGGCCAATAAATGTACATGCAAACTTTCACATACCCCAATGACATCCACTTTGCATAAACGGCACCTTTTTCCGGTTTTATTTTTATATTTAAACCCGTGCCCACAATATCTTCGCTTGTAACGGCCGCCAACGAATTTAGTGCTGATGCAACAGTTCTATTTCAACATTATTCAACATTACAGATAATATTCACTCCAGTTTGTCGAAGAATTACATTTAAAAAAAAAGCGAAACTTACCCCAAACTGGCAGCGAAGATTCCGGCCACAAAAAATCCATTCACGAATCGGATGTCATGGAAAACGTCCATAATGTAAAATGGTAGCAGCTCATCTTTGGCTCCGATCTGACCAGATTTCAAGGGACTGCAATCTTTGTAATGCGCGTAGAGAGTGAGACCCGTGTAAAAGTTCACAATAAATATAAGAACAAGACCTGTTTGAACAAAAAACAAAATCATTTTTAATAATGTTTTAACATTAAATTTCAATGGATGCTCACCAATGATTGAGAGGGTTAGTGCTTTATTTGCTTTCTTCTCGCATCTAAGTGACATACACTTCTGAACGGACGCTTGATTTGTACATAAAAGTGACACCCAATAGAAGAAACCACCAATCACAACTGAAAATACAGTGTGCCGCGTTACTGGATTTGGATCCAAACTGCAAAAAAAAGGAATTATTGAATGTAAATGACGATGTTTTTTATTAAATAGTTTTATATATATTTCTGGCCAGCCACATCAACTTAGATTAAATGACAATTTGATCAAAATGAAGAACAATTGATTTACTTAAAAAATTCCAGACGTTTTCCTTCATCGGCTACCGTCCATATATCCATAAAACCGCCCGTATAAACAAAGCCCAGGCCGACTACTAATGCCAATGAGAATGCAAGTACACATGCCTAATGAAAATAAAACACGCGTTAAAATCATAATTTTCCCACTCGTCCAAAAATCAACAAAAAATCAATGTATTTACTTGAAAAGTGTCTGCAATAACGACTGCTTTCATACCGCCTTGTGATGCATAGAAAATGCAAACTAAGTAAATAAGAAAGACAGCAACTCGTGTATTCAATCCGGTGGCTTTATTCAGTGCAATGGCTGGTGCATAAACGGAAACTGCTGTGTAAAATAGCATCTGAATGATATACAAAAGGGCACCAAAAATGCGAATATTCTTGCCAAAGCGAATGCCCAAGTACTCATAGCAACTGGTCAATTGCAACTTAAAATAAATGGGATAGTAGATTTTGATGGCAACCGGAATGACCATAAAAATCGATATAACTATTAGCGCAAATTGAGTGCCATTGAAAACGATTTCGGACGGATTTCCAAGCAATTCGATGGCTGTAATGAAGCTGGTTGTTAAACTCAATGACACTGGCAACAGGCTCATTTCGGTGCCATGAAGAAAATCAGCCGATGTATTCTCGGTTCCGCTGAAGAATCCATAAAACACTCCAATGCCCAATGAAATCACAAGCATTCCCAACACTATTGAATAATCATAAATGGTGAACGTGCCAACGTGTCGATTTCTTTCATCGCCACACTCATGGATATTCGGATCGAGTGATTCTTTTGCAATCACCAGAATGATCATTTCTACTGCTAACATAAGCACGAACATACGCTTTGCAATACTCATTTTTGTTGATCTTTATTTTACACACAATTCAAATTCGCTTTTTTTTTCAATTTTAAACTCAATTCCTGCTAGTGTGGCTGACTGGTTTGTAATACGAAAGAGCTTAATGCCTTCTGTTTTTTTTTTCTATTGCAGCACCACTTTAGTTCATTTACATATGACTTTAAGACACGTGCTTCTAAATTTTACGACTCGAACACAGTTTATATCTCTTTGTTTAATGATCTGCGAGCAATGGACATCTGAAATTGAAGAAGATGGTTTACATTTGATTATCTACGATGAAAAAATAGAAATTATCTTAGAATTGAACACAGCAGATCATACCATGATTTTTTTTTTGTTTAAATCTATGTTATATTCTATTTGTATCTGTACTCGATCTTAACCTTCATCATGAGTTTTTTTCTTTTAAAACACACTAAAAATTCTGCATATCATCGAGGTAATTTTTCTTTCGATCAAATTATTCGCACACGCTATCAATCATAATAACAATTAATCCGTTTAAAAAAAACACTTAAACCATTGAGAGATATTTCGCCAAATATTGTAATGGGCTTAATATTAAAATGATTTGTTATAAATCAAGCAAAAAATTAAAGCGAACAATCAATGTTCAAATGCACTTTAAGTGACGTGAGAATAGATTATTATTACTGTTATTGCATATCACATTTTAATTAATTCTGCATTTTGCATAAATGACAGAAAATAATTTATTTGAAAAAAAAAAAAAAATGATTCAAAAAGCGATATTTTAAAATTCGGATTCAGTTTCAATATGCACTGGCACACACGCACACTGTGGATCTGTGATTGAGTATTCCCAATGCAAACCAGTTCAAACCGATGAACCGATGGAGTGAAACAGGTAAAAGTTGGTTGAATCAGACATTTTCTGCCAATATCCGGATCGAACCAGAATATCGCAATCGAACGACGATTCGAAACACGCAACGACCATATATTTTTATAAGTCAGATATGATGACTGTTTCAACGGTGATTTCTTTTCTTATTATCTTTCATCCATTCTCATATTTGCACGAATAAATGATCTTTGTGCTTCCCAATGAGACTTGCCACAACAACAATTGATCGCTCTCAAATTTTATTTTAATTTATGTGGCGGGACATTAATGAGTTGTTTAAAGGATGAATTAAAGAAGAATATGGTGTGCTTAATTCGCGCTTGAAATGTTTCTTCTTCAATTGTAATGAAATTGATTGAACAAAACAATTAAAACATAGCTCAACTGAAAATGTTTTACTTTGTGCTCAACATGTTGGCTTGTTTCCATTACACATACACACACACAACAAATTATTTATTGCGTAGAATCGTATCGAATAAAATCTAATTATTAAGAATGTTAGAAAATTGTCTTCGCCAACCATTAATTTGGTGAAGCCTATTAACATTGAGCACTAAAACAAACAATAACAAAAAATGCACTCGTTGATTTTGGAATAATTTGATTGTTCAAAATAACGAAACCAACTGAAAATACATTGACCAAAAATATTAGATTCCTATCGAATTCATTACCAAGTGGAATATTTCGAAATGATAATATTTTCCTTTGAGTCTTTCAATAGAAAACAATTGAATAAATTGTCTGCGTCTCACATTACTCAAGTCATGATTGAATGGCTTTATTCAAACAATAGAACTGTGGTTAAGATCACCAATTCAAAACATATCGTAATGTATGATGCATAAAGAGAAGTTATGTAAAGTGTAAACCACAAATTATAAATGTAAATAAAATAAAATCAATGAAAAAAACGTATTTCTTTGTAGTTTAGGTACTTACGGGTAATACTTGGGCAGAATTTTAGGCTAGCACGAATCAAATAAACTTTTTGCCAACAAATGGCAGATGCAATAATATAGAAACCTGTTAAGCATTTAAACAATGAAAATTTTAAAATTTGGCAATGAGTATATGAAAGTATGAGATTCCGTAATTCACTGCTTGTGAACTAAACGTTTGCATTTTAAAGTGTCCATTATCTTCTTATGTAATTAATTGTCAAAGAGGATTTCCTACGTTTTATTTATCGAAATCAAAGAAAATTATATCTGACATAAGTCATATTTTTTAATACATTCTAATCACGATAATATAAATGACAAAAAATGACAGATTTTTTTTCGAATTTTTGTGCAATCATTTGATTGTGAGAGAAAAATGTGCACAAGATAAAAATCGGTTGTGTGATCGAACCGAAAGAAGTTATTGTAACTGTTTCGTGACTATTTTAATTAGAAATTGTGCAACGCCAACAGTGAAAGCGTTCTATGACGTTCACAGTAGTACACAATTCACTTGCAACGTCAGAAATAAAATTTCAAATTATAATTAGCTATCGTATTTGAATCACACAAAATATAGAAGGAAATAACGAGACACAAACCGGCACAATAATTATATTGAATTAATTACATCCAACACTTTGTTTCTCATTAAATTTATCTGTTCAAATTGTAAATTAACTGTTTTTTGTGTTGAATTTAAACAGAAATTCGAAAAGAAAAAGTTCAGTATTGTAATGCGAATAAGCTTATTTCGTGGGTGAAAAAAAAAAACTGTTCAAAATGTTTAAATGCATTTTATTGCCTGCTTCCAGAATCAATCATGCGATACGGATCTTTTAAATACTCACCTTAAAGCGATAAAAATCGATAATTTTTTTTTTTTGTGTTGTTGATTGCTTAAATCTGTGTCTAGATCTGTGCTAAAAACGTCCGAAATTGAATTTGTAAAATGAAACCGTGTGTATTTTTGTAATTCATTCGTGATTGATATTCACACGAAATTTGGACACATTCGTTTAACACACCACAAATTAAATGTAACACAGATGATGATGCACTTTTGCGAGACAATTTGTCAACCCTTTATCTTAATGTTGCGCTTTTATAATAACTGAATGGAAAACCGATATTCGTTATTTATTTGGCAAATATTCACGCTACAATGATTCACACTAATGGACTTAAATTTTACCGTGGAAAATTGAAGAAAAAAATGTTTTAATTTTAAATTAAAAAAAAAAAAAAAACGGAACGGAATGCGTTTGTTCTCTTTGAGATTTTATGGTGATTTTCAGTTGCGTCCAGAATGCCAACCGTTAAGTTTCAATTCAAATCAATGACTGACTGCGCTGAAACAATATCCAAACATGTTTAATACTACACGAATATATAGATTTGATTGAATTGAGATGGTTTGGAATTAATTAATTTTCATATCGTAGAATGGTCGACGCGCGAACGACACACACATACACTCATAAAACACACATCATAAGGAATGATAAGGAGCGAGAGATAATATCGGAGAAATGAACAACCCATAGTTTTGTGCATACAACCAAATCAAAAACAAAAAGAGAGAAACAATGTTTTGAATAAACGAGAAAAAAAATTCCAAAATGACGAAATATAAACAAATAACAACAACAATAAAAAAATCGGATCAAACTGTGTAGCGGAAAAATTATGAAAGAATGTAATAATTTGGATCGGGTGGGGAGTTACAACGTAGATTTTAATGAAATTTCATTAGAAAGCTATATCTGTTCCTGTCTTTCCTTGCTTCAGAGATGTAGCTATGACTGACATCAAAACAATGCAGAACGGATCGCACGCGAAATTGTCGAACAATTGCACTTGAAATATCTATCTATTGAACTTGATTTGATCGACAAGAACCGGTAAGCTGACGATTTCTTATTAAATCAATCAGGCTATTGTTTAATAAGTTGGAAAACATGCAAAATAAACTGCTTTAAATCACCAACATTAAAAAAACGACTAAAGAAAAAAGGTCCAAACAAAAAAAAACCGAATATATTGACTCATGTGTTTGTTTGGGTGTACTTTTTGGGTCGGATCCGTTTATTTATTTAGTCTACTATAATGTTGATGTGATATTCATCAGTGATTTCATTTCCAATTTGGCATTACATTTTCGGTTCATTCACATCGAATTCGTTTTTTTCATACATTTTTTTTGCCAATTTGATAATATCGGTTAATTTAAAAGACGAAAAACAAATTGTCTTGAAAAATCAAAATTAACAAAATGAGTGAGTTATATAATCTGCGTCTGCGTTGATGATTCATTGCAAATTAACGATTGCATTGAGGATCTTCTTCGTTGAAATTCGTATGATCATCAGGTTTTCAAATAATTTTGACGAGCCTACTATAGCCACATATCAAGTGCTCTTTATACAATTTGGTTTTGATGAAAAGTGTCATAGCATTCATTGTGCTTAGAAAAATAAATTTATGAAACAATATATTAAATGCTTCACAAGAAATGAATAAAAGTCAATTCAAGAGCGATTCGGTCTATCAAAGCCACATTGTGCACGTGTGTGCATTGCAATCATTGGAAATTCAATAAAATTGATTTGTTTTTTCGAACGATGCTCAAATGTAAGTTGGTTGGGCTTTCCAGCATACTTGGTCGAATAAAATTACTCACATTTTCGACTATCGAATTGTTTATCATTTGAATAAACTCTCATCAAGTTATACAAAATATGGATCAAATTTCAAAGAAATGTGCCTTCTTAATCATTATAGTATTGCTCCACACAAATCAATTAAAATGCGAGCACGAGCTCGACCGAACACGCATACATTTGAGCCCATTGCTCAATTACATTGCGTGGAATGGATATCATATTATGACGTTTTTACGATTCAAACAAATCAAATCATAACAAAATATTTGTCATAAATTACAGTGCGCAACGTCAAACAATTGCCCCATAATGACCATTTGTTTTGTCGTCATCATTATCGTCATACTCTATTTTCTGTTTGAACATAAAATATATTAACCACTTGTTATTTGTTAATGTACAATAATTTTCCAAATAATTATTGATTGGATGACAGTTTTTTGTCGTTGCATACAATTTTTATTCAGTTTGATGTTCAAAACAAGACTGGGACACTGATATGGTTACTTGAATGTTTCAAGGTGTCAAAATTTTGTCCATGCACATGGATTTCTATCATTCTTTTTTTCTTCTTCTTTCTTTAATCAATTACAACACATTTTAATTCAAATTTAATGTGATTCGACATTTGCGCATCAGTAATGCACTTGATTCTTACGTCTTATTGACTACAATTGTTTGCTTGTGGTGCTGCAAGTTATCCAGTTGATTTTGTATGTACAATGTACATGTAGGTGATGTATAGAGAGCCAAGTGAGAGAGGGAGAAAGATAAATTCCCATATTTTCCGGATATCACCGGTTCGATGTTCGATACTCGATAATAACACATCAAACGTTCAATTGATCTTACAGATATTTCTCCCATGCTGTACTGTTTGCGTTCAAATTGTTCGGCGACTATTTTTTTTTTCGTTGTTGTCTTTGAATCGATGTCGTAAATACAAACGACTTAGCCTTTGAAAACGAATTGAATAAGTGCCGACTTATTTCAAATTGAATTTCTTTTTTCGTTTTTTTCATTTTATTAAAAAAAATTATCTTAATTAAGTATTAATTCATTGTATGCGATGGCAATATAAAATGGTTGAACATAATAATTGCGCAAATGATTTAAGACGCCTTTGTCGCATTTCAAAATTTTGTGAAATTCTGGCATGTGTCTTTTTATTTTATTGTATACAATAAAGAGAGAGAGGAAAGGTCATTGTTGTGTTGGCAAAGAAATTCGCCGTTTTTGAATTGAAATACATGATTCAGGAAGTGACAATATTTCATTTGACTTTTTATCGTGATATCCCAATAAAAACCATATTATTACATCGATTTGTTCCGATCAAAAAACTAGCAATATTAATTGATTCTTTTAATTAATATTACTTGACATATAAGATTGCCCGTTAGATGGTACACCACGAAAATCATTCTAAAGTTTGTATAAACAATTTACGACTGACTCGATCGACCATTTTTTTTTATATTTATCCCTGTTTGAAATGTGATTTAATTTCAACGTGAATAATGGCATATGACAACAATAGGAAATATTTTATATTACATTGACAATGAAATAAAAATACTTTCAATTGATTGTATAAATGAAGTGAACGAAAATGGATTTTGAGGGAAAAATATTTGAAGAGAATTTTATAAAGGCGAAACGAAATCGCGACGAAAAAAAAAAACGGTAGATTCAATTTAATGGCAATTAATTTAAAATTTCTGATCGAGTTTTTTTTTCACATACCATTATTTGTGATTATATATGCCTGTGGAGAAAGATATAAATTGAAATACTCCAATTCAAACATTCTGTTCAAAAAATAATAATTTGACTCAAAAGGTATTTTATTTCCATTTTTATTCTGAATTTTTGTTTTGTGTTGATGTTACAAGTAAAGCCTGTTAATTAGTATATGCTAAAAATAAATTTCTATTAATTGTTTTTACTTCTGCATTTCTCTATTTGTTCATTTCTTTTATTCTTGGTTGGATTCAGACTCACTGATCATCCCAGATAGGTTAAAATGCAATTACCTGAATATTTAGTGGAGTGTCTCGATTTCATGATATGCATTGAGTTTCTCTGGAAATCAGAAACTTAATACAGATCACAAAATCGAAATTTTCCATGGCTAATGCATTTCAGCTGGGATGATCAGTCAGCTCAATATATTGCCTGGTTGAATTAATGGATTTGGAAATATACATAATTCTTACGATTATGTGATATAATCATTATTTTAAAAAACAATGTTTAAATGAATTTTTGTGATTTGTATTAAAAATGTTATTCGATCTAATCGGATTTTTTTGTTTTATTTCAGATCCGATTAAATCCGAAAAGCAAAGCTGTTATAGGTACCACGGAGGTGCGTGCATTTTTCTTGTAAGTGTCACTTTTTCTTGTATTCAGAAGCGGCACATAAAAAGTTATATGTGCCCGCACTTCTGTGGTGCCGATAAGAGCTCTGCCAAAAACGTGGCATCTTTAAAAAATGTATGGATACAAGCCATCCCAAGAAAAAAAAAACATTCACTTATACATTCGATTAATTGTATTTTTTCATCTTTTGATTTTCATCGGAAAAATATTCATATCTTTTTTTTGTTTAAATTTACACGTGAACGTTAGGCATTTTGAGTTACAATTTACATTTTTGCTTCATTTTATTTGCCATTGGAACAATCCAATTCGCATTTAGAATAATTTGCTACGAAAACACAATATTGAACACGATATTTTATTTAATCATTGGCTATTTATTTGCATTTTCTTTTTGTTTTATTTTAAATCGAAATGATACTCAAGTAACGATGCATTTGATCATATCCTATAAGAATAAATATATAGTGCATTTTTTTTGAAAAATATTCGTTTTTCATCAACTCTCCATAGCTTTTGAAAATGTTCTAAAAAAAAATAATGCGAAATAAAATAAATGTCAGTTAATTTATTGCAAAATAATGAGAGAGAAAAAATGTTGACAATATAAAAAAGTTATACAAATATTATGTTCGTCTTTAAAAAAAAATTAAGAAATCAATATATATATAAAATGCTTCGTCTTTGATTAAAAAAAGCACAAGATCATCCAGCAGCATTTTTGATAAATTAAAAACTTAAAAAAATTAAACTTAAAAAACGCTAACATACTATTATTTGATTCACAGACTCTCTTTCCTGCTACCTCTCACCCTAACAAACTTTCTTTATTCATTTTTTATCACAACTGTTGGTTGATAAGGTCGAGTTGTATGGACCTTTCCCCAAATGGAAATCTACGTAAAACCGTGCATATTTATATAATAGTCCCACTAGAAGAATACACCCCACAGAAGATTGAACTGAATGTTATCGGGTTTTCTCACAGCAATGAAATCCCTACTACCGTGCTAGATGGTGTCGACACGAGTGGACGGATTTTTAACAGATAATATATTGAATTAACTGGTCAGTTGAGCTGACAGTACGTTAGCTAGCTAAATGGGCTAAAACAATAGACGTTATTGTTTTAATGATGAATCACTTTTCTTGTTTTAATAGAAGTGATTGTTCATTATAACAATAACTTCTATTGTTTTGGTCCATTTAGCTGGCTAACGTACTGTCAGCTCAACTGACCAGTTAGTTCAATATATTGTCTGATTTTTAAATTTATTTGAACGACGCCATGTTTATATACTTGTCCATTACAACGTACAAGTAACAGAAAAAACACACAGTCCATGTCCTCGCTAGTGGACATAAACGATTTGAACCATCAATGTGAACTAGATCAAGTATAGAACTTTACATAGGATCATATAAGATGAATATGGATTACACAGTCTGTTTCAAAATACCGTCACCAATGTCGACACCATTTGACATCAAAATTTTGACAATAAAAATATGTGTTATTGTTGTTGTCGTGTCATTGCTGTGGGTTTTCTATTGTTTAGTGTGGCACTTTTCACATCTTAAGATATCATTTTTAAAAATTTTCTTAAATCTTGGCTCAATACATGGACAATCGTAATTGTAATGTTGATCGATTTTATTTAAATCAGAAAATTAACTCATCCAAATATGACATTTATCGAAACCTCACTATGAAAACCGAATAATTTCTATTTTTAAATCTTTACAGTAATTTTTGCCAACCATTTTTACATTGTAATGTGATTTTGTTTTGACTTTATCGTTATTGATGCATAAATGCAAATATCAATATGTACATTGGTGAAATAATAATAATAAAAGGGCAAAATAAAAACTAATCGTTCAATGTCATTATTAAATACGGCAGCAAACAGTCAATTGCCACAAATATTCGTATTTAAAACAATGAGTTTAAATAAATATGCACATTTGCTAGGATACAGTTCTATTTTCTAAGCTAAAATGCAAACGATTCTCCGATAATGGATGTGGCTTACGTCATTTTCAACGCTTATCCCTTATGCAAAACAATTGGGCATTCAGTTTTAAATAAAATTTTGCTGCAAATATCAATGCTTGATTGAAACGTTCCCATTTTTGTTGTTGACCAAACACATACGATAAATTCACATCGAATACGAAATGTTAGTTAGAAAAAAAAAACCACAAAATAATAATAAATAAACTACTATCTAAGTATTTGATGATACTGAATTCTCTGTACCATGTAAATGGAAATTAAAAAAACAAAAAAATGACTAAAATTGGACAATACTTTTTTCATGAGGGATATCAATCGCTCATTGATTTTTCGCCATTCGCTATTAATTTTATGTATCTATTTCTATTTCTATCTGTCTGCCTCTCCGTTTTGAGTGTATTGTAAAATGGTCAATAACAAATTTGCTGTCGCTATACGCTGAGAATGCATATTATTCGTTTAAAATACTATAAATTTTGTGGCGATGACGGCATTATGTCAACCGATATTTGTGTTTCTTTTTTGGTGCCATCGATGTTTGTGTCTGGCATCACAGTCAAATTTTGATTGAGCCGATCATTTTCATACTCTACAAAATCATCAAACAAACTAGGCCAGGCTTCGGTGTCATCGTATGCAGTTATATCACATGTTTCAGCAAAATTTAAAAACATATTCCATGTATCTTTTGGTATGCCCCGTATATTTGTATGGAGTTCTAAATAATCTAACCATCTATCTAAAATGTCCGGTTTATGAACGGTGAAAACAAGACGCCATAATATAATTGCCATGTCTAAGAGAACGATACGATTGTCCGGCTCCAGACCAAAACGAAATGTAAATCGATACAATTGTTTGAACATTTCGGCATTGACTTTTAATTTTTCAATTGTTTGTTCCAAACGCATTCGTATACCATCAACTGTATCCGCATTCAGCGAATGCAATCCCTGAATAAATTCACTCTTTGTAAAACGGCACATTTGCGATGCATCTAAACGCCATGCCAGCACCAATATTGCAAAATCATCCGGTTTATAATTTAGATCTTCGCACAGCCGTTCAATTCCTTCCATAAGAATTGCATCTTCGTGTTCATCTTTGTATTTCTCAAACAATGCATTCACTGTATTATCTGACACTTGATAATTGGGATCCTTTGCAGCTATTTTTTATACCGCAAAAATGGAAGAGACAAAAAAAAAGACACTAATTATAACAATGAAAATGCAACGAGACACTATGACCAAAATAGAAAAAAAATTGTATTTACCTGTACCGGAGTGCACTTCATGCACGTTATTGGCTCCATTTGAGAGAATGGTGGATTTCCTCGTTGAACTGGTGGCTATTGCTCCACTATTTCCAATATGTAGTTCGTGATTTCTTATTTCTGGTACTGAACTCTCTGCTAGTATTTCGTCAGTTTCTAGAGAAGAGTCAATGAATAAATTTAGATTTTTTTTTATTTGACATGTATTTTTACATTGAATTCAGTTCGATTATGGCTTACTTTGACGTTCGATATAGAGAGCGGGATCGATTGGTGAGCGCGATTCGGTGCTCGTATCAAAATTGTCAATTTGTCGGTTGTTGAAGTGTTTCGACTTCTTGGAATGAAAACATGAAAACAGGTTTCCCATTGCGATTGGATTGATTTTGTTCTGGGAATGGTGTTTAGTTAAGTTTGTGCTATGAATTCCTATCGAGCGATTTCCATTAAATTGTTTGCGCTCTTTTGTACGATTGTTTTGATGTTGTTTCTCTAGTTGATCGCAAATTTTTACGAAAGAACAATTTAAAACATATTGTTATTGTTTTTTGTTGAATGGATTGGAACACACTGGTTTTGTTATTTTTCTTTAAATGATCTATGTGTTGGTTTGTAGGTTGTACGAATAAAATATCGCGAATAAAAAAAAATCTCGAAAAACATAAATTACGAACGTGCGTTTGAATTAAAATTTGCGTTTTTTTTGGCACTTTGTTAAAATGTAAATAACTATTTTCAACTAAGTCGTAAAGTGACGCATTTTGTTGCTTATTCATTCGTAAGCTTTTTAACTATGCTAAGGTTAGGCAAATTGTCTGAAATTGAAGAAAAAAGAAAAAAAATAAGACTACATGTATATCACATAAGCTATTGATTTAACACAATGAAAAATTGAAAAGAATTTAACATGAAGTGCGTAAGCAATACACGTACGAAACCAAAATAGGTACATTGAATCGAAATATGAAAGAAAAAAAACATCAGCAACAACAACAGAGACTGAACAATGTCGCTTTTTTTTTTCATCAGTTCAATATACATAATAGAGATTTCTTTAATTCTTCTTATTTTCGAAACTCATTGCATATAAACACATGCATGCAAATGGCTAAATTACAATGTTTGAGTTTTGATTTTAGAACATAGCGAAAAAAAATATATTCTTTATATTATAGTACTTGAGCCGATTAAGAAGCACTTGACACTTGGGGGGAACCAGTAACATTTAACTTGTTTGCTTCACTAATCAGCATCAATAAACATACACATGCCTGACAGCAAGTGTGTATTTGAAAGAGACAGACACACAGAGAAGAAAAACGTAATAACATTACCTTTCTTCAGCTGTACCACACACTACCATATGTGTATTGCACTTGAACGTTTCACATTGAGCTCAATTGTTATTGCTATTACTTGATGTTGCTGTAGTGCTTTTTATATATTCCTTCGCTGTCCGTTGTCGTCGTCTTCTTCTTCTTCTTTTTATTCTGTTTTGGTTATTTGTTTGTTTCTGTCTTGACTCTGTGTATTTGGCGTGCTCACAGTTCCATCGAAGACTATACACACACGGTTATTTCCGTAATTGTTTGTAACAAACACAATTTTTTTTACCTCACTTTTTTGCAATTCAATTTATTTTAGTGTTTTTGTTTTTCATTGAAATAACCGAAATTATACACCACACAAAATTACGATTAAATCTATCCGTTCACTTTTCAAGTGCTCGTACTCACTTTTGCCTTCGATCAACAACATTCGATTTCGTTGCCATTTAATGAAAATGTTTTGATATTTCTACTCTAATCGTCTCTCTAGTTTTTGCACCCGTTCAAGCGCATTTACATATACAAAGCCTGTCAATGCACATACAAACACACGCGCACACACCGAACAAGTACAGACAGTGACAATGAATTATTTCGATGAATTGAGATAAAACTGCAGTTGTGGTAACATAAAAACGTTCGAAATGTCACATACACACGCACACCATCTCACTTTATAGCATAATATAATTTGTGTGGAGAGTTGGAGACATTTCTGTCTGTTTAAAACAAATTTATAAAATTTGCCCATCTCATCTTAATTGGCCTCTCATTAAATCGGAAAAAACAATAAATTAGCCTACATTTTTAAACATTAATACCTAGAAAAATGGAATTCTTTCTTTTTTTTTAACTGAATTCTATAGAATGCTACCAACGTCAAATGCTATATACTTTGGATGACACCAACTTCATTCTTATTTCATGTAAATTCAAGCAATCAAAGTAAAGCTCGTTCGCTTTAATGTTTCAAGTATCTGTGTACTTTGTTTACGTTTTAGTTCATTTGACAACAACATTATTTGATTCAAGAATTCGAACCGAGAATATGAAATGTGGAAGATATGGTTACATGTACTAAATGTGAACGTTAAGGATTACACTAAAAATGTCTATTCGCTCATTCAAAATCTATGCCGATTTTTTTGCCGGAATATTTGCATTTATTTGAAATTTGAAATTTTAAATATTTGAAAATTATTCATTTAAATGAATGAATGATCGCTTTCATGGTACACTACATTGTGAAAAATAACGCGAATTTTTTTAAATAATTCACTTTTGTTTACTTTTGAGATTTTTTTTTTTAAATGAAATTCCGTAATATTGCAATTCCAATTAATTTTTTTTTTTTAATTTGTGTTTTGCCGCAGAGAAAATACTTTGCGGAATTGTTACAATAAATATTCCAAATTCTGCAGTGTAAGTATTTTACCGCAATCGATTTTCTGAAGAAACACATTGGGATTTCAATGTTACAGAATTGCCAAAAAAAAAAAAATCTAAAAAGTCAACAAAATCCAACAAGCCGTGAAGTCTTTGCCGTGAGTTTTTGTCAAATAATTTTCGTTTGGTTTTTGATGATTTCCAACTGAATCTTATTATTGAAAATATTAAAATTACGAAAATTATCCAGACATTGTCGTCAGGCGCTGAAATGAAGCGAAATGATTGTTATAGTGATTGTAGCAATGTAAGTTTAGTTATAACCATAACAATCACTTCTATTGTCTTCACTCAATTTCAGCGCCTGACGATATCTGACTGAGCTAATTCATATGGCTGCAAATATCTGAATATAATGTCTGAGATTATCTCAAGAAATACCAGATTGTGTTGAGAATGTCTAATAAGACATGAATTATTTCAAACAAAAATCTACTTTCATTTATTCAGCCAGACGTGCTGCACCCTGTTTCTTTGTCTAATGCAATTATTCCCATACACTTAAACAATAAAAACCTCATTTTGTGGTTTTCGGGGCAAATCGAATTGATTTTAATAGATTGTCATTTTTTATTCAAAGAGAAGCCTTGAAGTTGAAATTCGCAATGTAATTTTCATTATATGCTGGGTGATACATGTAATTAGTGCCGCACGTATCATTTTGAATATATGAAAATGCAACACCAAAACATTTCCTTCAAAATAACAAATTTTGCTAAAGGTCATCATAGCCACAAATGTTAAATAAAGAATATTGGAGGACTCAAACTGTATCCATGACTAATTTACTTTCTCTCTCGCTCACACGTTTGTCCAATGAATTTTTAATTTTTATGCTTTACGATCATTCGATTCAGTTGATCGTTTGTGTGGATAAATGTTTGCAATTTTCACGTAACGCGAAAGATTTAAAGTTATTATTATTTCAATACAGTGTTACAATATATCAATATGCTCTTTCATAAAGCCATGCATCACGATCTTCGTTTGGGTTTTTTACCAATTGCAAGGCATATTCGAAGTATGGCCATTTTAACCCATTATCATGTGCTGGGCTCTAATGTAGGGTCGAATATTTTTGAAGTCATATTTCGATTTTGATATCGCATTCAAACATGTTTTTGACAAATGTGAAGAGGCCCTAATGTTTTCAAAAAAATTGACACTTCTGGGATTTTTTTTCTATTCGTCAGAGCCATGAACTGTTCCTCTCAGGGGAAGGATTGGCGAAGAGGAAAATGAGAGGTGAATAGCCCTTAGGAGGTTTTTCTTCCAACCAAAAAATATTTTCCTCATTTTCATTTATCATTCTCATTTCTTCTCAGAGAAACAATGACCCTGATCACGGCACATGATATAAAATCAAAATGAATTGAGAACAAAAAAAAATTGCACAGTAAAGAGTTAATTGATAATCTTTATAAATGTGATATTTGATGGCTTAAAATGAATTAATAGGTTTGATGAATGTAAAATGAAATCTTAAAAACAAAAATGCTAATTATTAACATAGAGACCATAAAATGTATGTTACGTTTTTTGGCGTACGTTGTTTGAAGTTCGTTTCTGTATTCTCATTTTAATTTTCATGGAATCAATTAACAGTAAATATCAATTTGCGAAAATGTTATGTTTTATGATTTGTAATACAAATTGTGTTTACTGATAACTGAGAAACATGGAAATGGAAGAAATACAATTTTTTGTTTTCATTTTCAATGGTCTATCCCAAGATGAATGTCATCTTATCATCAACGAATTTTCGTGCATATGTCATTAGGATTGTATTCAATAAGTTCAGTCATAATATCAAACTCAGTGTGTTTACATTTATTCTAACAAGAAATTGTAAAACAAATCCATATGTAATTTTATGGATTTACGTCAGATCGTGTATATAATTTTTTTTTTAATCATCAATCTGTTGTTACATAAAACCGAGAATAAAATGACACGATTCGATGAGTTGAAACAGTGTCAAAAATAGTGTTTCTGAATAGTAAAAAACAGAAACGGATAGATTGAGAGAAATTCATAAAAACACACACGGATATTTTGCCTGCCATTCAGAGAAATTTTTAGACTGAGAAGCGGTTGTGTTATGAACAAATAAAAAAATGTTTGAAAACTTCGATCGATTAAAGTGCATGAAGGCAGGTGGCCTCGTAATGGGCATCATCGGAGCCTTTTTGTCAGTATCGAATATTTTTTGGGCAATCTACCGGTATGAAAATAATGATGTGATTAATGATAATACGATATCACATCTATTGTTTAGCAAAGTAGAAGAGGACTTTGTTCGCATGTTTTACATGATCCTATCATTATTTGATATGCTTGCTGCTTTACTATTAATCAACGGCATTTTGATGGTAAATATCGTGAATTCTAGATAAATATCTGGTGACTTGCATTTCAATTTATATGAATAGAGATCATTTACACTGACTTGTCGCATTCTCTATAAAATTAATTCTTTGATGCCACGCTCACAAGCATTTCATCTATGCTTATCTATGTGACTCACTTCTTCTTAATATTTTTTTTTTTTCATTTGCAAACATTTCTTCTGAAAATAGAAAACAAAGTCATATTATCAAATTGTAATCATATTTGTTTTTTTCCCTTAATATCTTCAAATTGATGATGCTGATGCCGTTTTATTTTTCTATTGCCGTTGGTCAACTTTCGAAAAAAAAAAAATGATAGAAAAATAAATACTTTTTGCTACCCTGGATTACTTGTACACTGGTTGCAATAATAATTGAAACACTAGAATACTCGGTACTACTCTTGTCGCATGTTTGCTATATTGGCTACATTGGTAAGTATATCTTGAACACATGATCGAACATTTCATTTCAATTAAATTAGAATACGTTCTAGTCATTTAAATCTATTTACGCCATGTTCAGCTTTAATAGATAAGATAATGAACGGATTTCAACCCAGAAAGGTCATTTAAAACATTATCACTTAAAAATGTAATATTTTGGAAGTGAAAAGTGGTTTGTAAGTTAGTGTGTAAAACAAACAAAAATATGCGGTATATTTCACTTACCGTCTACAGAGTCATCTGAGACCATCGAAATATCTTATTATGTGTGTACAAATCAATGTAATGGAAATTTATTAGTTATAGATTTCAAATGATTCCGTAAATTGTCGCGTAAAAATGCCGGAACACTGATGAAATCGACCCTATTTTTTCAATTAATCGATTTTAAAAATTACTGCTATCTTTCATCAAATCTTACCAATTCACGTAATAATCAAAGGGAAATTAGTAATTTGCGAATAGACAATGTCTTTCCTGGTTGCAAATTCAAAGAAACATATTAAAATTTTCATCAATTATGTATACACCGTCTGCATTTCTGATATAATTAACTAAGGAATACTCTTGATGTTATCTCTCTTTCTTTCTTTTTTTCAGGTATTTATATTTATATTGTGTATCTTTTAATTGAAAAATACAAGAAAATGAAAGCTGAAGATGAAGCCGTCAACTAAAACCGACTCATTTAAAATAAAGCAGCAGTTTTATGTCTTCGAGACTCGATGTATCGCCAAGAAATAAAGTGGGTCAAACGAAAAAAAAAACATCAAGGAGTTAAATTGTATCCATGACTAATTTAACAGAAAAAAAATCTCTTACAATTGATCATTAATTGTTCGTGTCTTGTATACATATGCTAATAAAACTGCATGATTTTTATTTTGCTTCTTAATGATTAATTTGATTGCTCAAAATGATCTAATAGGTAATTCCAGAATTGATACAAAGTGTGATTCTTCCTTTTGTTTGATGTCTTCGATGCTGTCATCATTAGCAAATTTCAATGGTTGGCACTTTTTTTTATATTCTATTCATAAAACGAAGACATGGCGCGCTCTTAAAAATCTCTGCATGAATGAGAAAGCAAAACAACCAGAAGCAAAACAACAATACACAGCGTATATAATTGAATACAGCAGCATATATTGAAAAACAAATTACAATTTAAAATTGAGGTTTTGGATCGTAATTGTTTACATTCTAAAGTTGCATTGGCAACAGCGGCAAAAAAAACTTAAGAGAAGAAATTATTTGTTGAAAGTGGTAAAATATATGCGAAAAAAGAATCAACGGAATATAAACTTTCACATAATTAGATGTGCAGTGAAGTTTGCAAATGGCCTATAAGTCATGAAGCGATTTTTTCTTTCTTTCTTTCATATTCGGTATTTCTTCTTTCTCTGTATCTCTGTGCTGCCAATACAAAGGGAGTCTCGGCTAGAATCTGTGTGCATTGAAAAAGACCTTGCCTACTTTGATGCGCGTTGTGTATGTGTTTCATTCGTGAAGTCACAGCATAGATTATGATATAGTATATTTGCGTGATAAGCATATATGTAAGTACAGAATTTCTCGTTTCACTGCGGAAGAAATAAATAAAGATAAGAGTTACAGCAAATTACACGATTGAATTGCTTTGACAACAATTATAATTATCATAATTATTAATTTGTATTAAAAAAAAACACTCACTGAACTCGTTTATAAGTCCCAATATGCTTGTGAAAAATCGTAATTGAGGCCCACGCAAAATGTAACTTCCTTTCAATTTTCGTATGGTACACATCAGTTCTTGCATAATAATTCCGCTTAAATTAAGCGGAACATCCACATCTCTTAATTTTCTATGCATGCGGCGGAAGAGATGAATGACCAATTTATTAGGTTTCAGACTAATTCAATACAAAAATTCCTTATTTGATCGCAAACAATCACTTCTTTCTTCTTTTTTCTTTTCAATTCCATACATTTGAAGTGTTCACATACAATTGGTTTTAATGCCCATTGTGGCATTTGTGGTGCGATTTTACAATAAATTAAAATAGATAGAAACACCTCAAATCAAATGAATCAAATGTGAATTGAACACATGCCCACATTTCGCAAATGAAATTGTTTTGTGAATGTCATATGAGATATATTGGCATTTATGAACATAAATTACGGTTATTGTTGGTCAGGAAGAAAATATTTTATGGATCATTTTTTTTTGTGAAAAGTTTTTGCATTTAAAATCAAAAGAAAAAAAATCATTGTCGAAAAATATCAATCAAAAGCACAATCATTTATGTTCGACAGTTTTGCATTGCAAAATTTGCAAGAGTTTCTCTTGAACAATTCGACACGTAATGTAAACAAGTGAACGAGTGAATGATTTTACAATTTTCGAATAGATTCTAAGGTCAATTTAAGGATTTTCGGATACGAATAAGCACTTGACACTTGGTTTACAAAATAATAATATCATACTTATGAATTATACAAAAAAAAAATGATCATTCTCACACAAGCAAATGAACAAAACTACCAGCTCCACAACTTTACTTAAACTAATCAAGAGGAACGTTTATTTATATGAATTATTTACGTATAATTAATACTAAAGTGCCGAAATAACAATAAAGCAGAAAATTTGCACGATGCAATTAAAAAAGATAAAAACAAACACGCAACTTTGTCCGAATGTTTTCGGTTGGTAAAATGGCAATTTACCACTGGCAAAACGTTCCAAGAAATCGACACTGAAACACGAATAAGCCAAATGATAAAAGATATAATTCCAAAACTAAACTAATAGATGTTTGAAAGGTTTAATATTCTGTACTCTGTACATTTAAGAAACCATTTAAATTCTGATGAAAGAGTCACGAAGTGTGACACTTGATGTCATTAGCGTTGAATCCATTTGAATCGGTTAACATCATAAAAGTATGATCATATTAATCAAGTGTCAACTCTTGAATAATGGACCAAATTTTTCGTACAATTTGGTGGTGATGGAACTTTTATAAACGATTCATTCAAATGGAAATTCGCTATAAATTGAATGGCTCTATTTTTCTCGAGCGATGAATGAAAAATACAAACAAAAAAACATAAGATGTATTGTCTAATTGATTGCTGTGGATTTTTGCGTTTATGTTCCGTTTGTTTTTATATTATATTTATTAAAGTTTAATATGAAGCGGAACGAGGAACTTGCCAGCGTAAAGACAATGAATCACGTGATACAGATGCGTTGCGCACATATTACAGGAATGAAATTAACATGAAACGCATTTTAGTATTGTGTTTATTAACTAAAGTAACTGTGCACAAATACAATATCTACATTTGCATATGCTCATCAATACATCATGCACGCTAGAGTGGCGCATAATATTGGCGAGAGTGTAAGGTGAGTACGCGCAATATTTTAAAACAATCACACCGCTCGAAGAATTTAGAAAGAGAAACAAGTATTATGGATGTAGAACACACAATCGTTAAAAATTATTTCTTTCTTACTACCGTGCGATACATATTTTCTCTTGCTATTTTGCATCGGCGAAATGTGGTTGTGAAAAAGGTTTCACATACGTGTAATATCATTGAGTATCTTCTTTGTGGTTTGCAACAGACAGCATATGCCAATACAAGTGGTATGCCGTGCTTGCAGCTATTGCAGAGCCGCAAAGATGTCTATAGCTGTCTCAAACTTGCAACCACGCTGTACAGTAACCACGCAAGATTTGTATATTCCGGACATATATTGTCCGAATATGTCCGCCCAATGCTGAAATCTCCAAGTACATACATACATACTTTCAACTAGCAACAATTTACATGACAATAACCGAATAAACAATAAAAAAAAATCAAAATTAAAATCTCTCTCAAAATCGCATTGCAATAGTAGAAAAAGAGACAAACATATTGACTACAATCACATTTTTTGAAAACCACACGTGATTATTTTGTTATATAAAAAAGTCAATTTGATTAAATTTTGGCATCGAGACGAGAAATCGAAAATAATGTTTAGTAAGCGGACGGCAATGGACGCGAAACTAGATGTTCGTTCCAGTAATTGAAAAAGAGAAAAAACCGAGCACACACACTCGATGTGTATATCACACACATAAAACAGAAGAACGTAAACAGTTTAAAGCATAGCAATCACAAATAGTCACAAACAAAACCAACGAAAAAAGACACACTCAACTGTAAAGAGAGTAAAAAAAAGAGGTGGTTTTACGAAATAAACAAACATCGATCGCAGCAAACATAAGCCGTTACGATAGTAATATTAAACCTCTCGGTGTGTGATGAACGTGCATTATATCTCTTGCTCAACAGGAAAAGAAGTAAATTCAAAGTGGACAGGCAATAAAATTTATAATTCCAAAGTCATAGAAAGATCCGCATGTTCATAGTTGCGCGATGTTGAATTTGCTGCAATTTAAACAGAACCAAAATCTCTACAAACAATTTAGCATTTATTGCGCTCAACATTTTATTTTTAATTGGTTTTAATTTGTGCAGCAAATTGTGTTTCTAGCCGATCTTCCGTTGCACGTTACTTTTCTTCGATTCGTTGCCTTTTTTCGTTCAATTTATTTATATTTTTTGAACACAATTTTTTTTGTTTGTGCGTTTTTTGTATTTTTCCACATTTCATTTTTTTTCTATTACGCAAATTACATACGTACGAAAACTACGAATTTTGTTTTCATTTTCTCTGTTTATTAGTGAACAGTCACATTTGCAAGAAACAACAGAAAGACAACGAATTAAACAACTGGCGAATTTCGGCGAAAATTTACATTTATTGTCAGGTGCGACGAAGTGATGCTTCATGCAGACGAGAAATTAATAATAATAATAAAAAGAATGTTACAAGTTCAAACAGTAAAATGTATAGAAAATTAAACATCAAGTCATGAAAAACTATTGAAAAAAAAAAACAACAATACAAAGTGTCATTAATTTCGTGCGTGAATTGAATACAACACCAACAGTAGATAATAATCTAAATAAAAAATATATAACACGAAAATTGTGTTTAAAAAAAAAAGTTACGTAGACAAAACAGTGTGTTACATACTGGCAATGAAAATATCCAAGTTTGTTTTTATCTTTTCTCTCTCACTCCATCATTCAGTATCGCTAGACCTGTTCGTTCATCCAAATACATAATTATAATTTGCATATACGATATACATAAGCATGTGTGCAATTTCTGATCTGATTACGATTTATAAGAGCTAAAAAGCTTTCAATTGATTTCAGTCAGTTGAATTTTCAGCAACGAGTGTATGCGCACATTTCTTTCGTCGCATAATTTATTCGTTCCCATTGTTTTCATTTCGAATTTATTACTTTCAATATATTTCTTACGTGAGGTGAAAATATTTTACATTGCAGTGAACACACAAACTACTTGCTCAAACTATTTTCTATAGAAAATTAATTTCCGTCTAAAACGCAGCACAGAAACATTGTGCATCGTTACAATTATTCGTTTAATATTTCCATTAAATTTGGTTAACTTACGAAACATTCAAATATTTCAGCATTTGGATTTGACGTTGCTGCTGATTTATTTTTATCGTGCATCGAATTATTTCGCATATGAATGTTATAATTTTCTCTCATTGTTTGAAAAATTACACGCATCAACGGCAGACAAAAACAGTGAATCTTTCATTTGACGAAAAGCGTTAAAGTGAAGCAGAAAATATAGTTGAAGACGGGGCCAAAGTTGATGAAAAGAAATCCAGACGCAGAAAGTGAAATTAATCAAACAAAAGCAGCGTAACAAAAATTTTTTTTTTTCGAAAGACTTACAACAGTAGATGAACATTAGCACCGAAAAAGAGCACAGTGAGACTCTTACACTCTCAATAAATTATTCGAATTCGGTGTGAGAAAAGCGAAAAAGAAAAGAAAAGTGAAGACAACAAGAAAAAGTTTAACAAATTCGCATATAATTTTGTGAACAGATGCCAGATCGCGCGTATACAGTTTTTTTTTGTGCGATAGACTATACCAATTGAAGGTAGAAGCGGTTTTTATTATAAGCGACATAAAGCCGCAAAAAATACGCATACGAATACAGAAAACTGAAACAGTGTCGGAAATAGTGTTTAAATCTCACAGTGTGTTTGTGTGTATGCGTGTACAAAAAGATAGAGGCAGATAGAGTGGAATACATCAAAAACTCAAAATATAAAACCAAATATACATATCCAGATTTGGAGAAAAAATATAGATAGAATTTGTAAACTAGCGAACACTTAAAGAACAACGAAAATGGTGAATCAATTAAAATGTTTGAAGGCGGGAGGCCTTGTGCTTGGCATTATTGGAACAGTTGTTGCATTGATCAATGCTTTTTGGGCGATCGCCTGGTATGAACATCTTCCAATAGTTGAAGCAAATTTCATATTACATTCATTTCTTGGCGAAGCACCTGATCACATTGTTCGATTGTTTTACGTCACCGTTTCACTATTCGATATGTTGGCTGCTGCACTATTAATTGCCGGCATTTTGATGGTAAATATTACAAATAATTGCTCAATAATAATATTGGTAAATAGTTATTGTAACAAATGGCACAATGAGCGCGTGTAGAGCGAACGATATTCTCGGCAAAAATGCTAGAAACAAATAATAACCAATTCGTCGGCCGATATCATATGAAATACAATGCATGTACATGAAATATGAATTTTTGAGCAGTAACACGAATTGTAAACTCACTCAGCGACAGCGACGATGACGACAACAGCATCGAATGCAAACATTAAAAAAAAAACAATTTATTTAATAAAATAAAGCACCGTACACGGTTCACATGGTTTTTGCGTTGCATTGAATCAAAGTAATACAAGGGTGAATTGCTTTAGATTGACGGTAGTTACCATGCTTGTTTGCTAGTGCGCTTCTTTCTTTTTTCGTATTCAACTGAAAAGCAACTACTTTTTTGCTTGTCGTTATCTATGTGTTGTTATTTCTGTGTTTCATTGGTTCTCGCATACATTTTTGTTGGCTGCTTGTCGATTATTACGTTATGATGCAGCTATTTTACTTTCTTTTTTAGTCTGTTGTGTTTTTTTTTGTTTCAATATATTTTACTTTTCTTTCATATATCGAATTCTGCACACACGCCCCTCGCAGCAAGTACATTGTCTGATATGCTCATTCATATTTCTGATTTATCATACATATAATCTATTTTGAAGCATTTGCAATTCACACAAATCATTTATACCTTGTCTTACGAGGTCTTAGATAGACACTCAGTTACATTTTCAATGAATGTGATTTGTGTGTGTGTGAGTGGTCTTTCTTGCTTCTTCTAGCTGTGTGCTTTTTCTTCGTTTTTCAAAATGAACGCTCATTTCCATGTGTGTTACACACATTTAGTTGTGACTATTATTATGAAAATAGAAAACGAGGTAAATAGTAATCATACAATTTGTTTTTTTTTTTCTTCTCTTCTTCTTGTTATTTTTTTCATTCCTTAATTTCTTCAATGGTGCTGCTGGTGCTGTCTATAATGTTATTGTTGTTATACTGCCGTTGGTCGACTTACGAAAACAACAAACCATAGAAAAAGAAATACTTTTTGTTGCCCTGGATTATTAGCTCAATGCTGGAAATAGTAATTACATCAATAGAACTATCGCCACATCTCATACCGTCCGTTGTAATTGTTGGCATCTTTGGTAAGTATATCTTGCGAATATGATCATCCAAAATATTTAGCTTTTTCTCTCTATCCAAATCATCGATTTATTGAGTCATTCAAACTAAAAACCCACAATGACCCCATAGACACGAATTTAATCTCAAACATATCAATAAAAAAAATGAAGTTATCACTCTATATGTGATGATAACCATAAACAAAATTCCATAATGTTTTATCGAAAATTCTAATCATAGATGTTTCTTTTCCAAACTGATTACGCAAAGAATAACATGATTTCTATTTATTCAACAGTTTGAACGTTATGAATCAACCGACCATGTCAATGAAAAAAAGAAATATTGCATTAAAATAACGGCAATCTATCTACCAAAAACAAAACTACACAACCATTTTTGTAAATGGATAAAGTTATTAGACCTTAAACGTATTTGGGGGAGGACAAAAATCCATTAACCAACGTAATGCGGCCTAAATTCGATTCGGTTTCCGTACATAGTATAAATTGAGTAACATAGTAAAGTTCAAAGATAAGCTCGACCCAAATCAGCACAGCGACAAAAAAATTTCCGTCTTCATTTATTGTTTTTGATCGCTTATTAATATTGCTATTATCACTTACTCTAAAAAAAAACCTTTGAAATCTTCTAATTGACATTGACATTTCCAAAAAAATGTCGACGCTGTTGTTATTCAAAAATATATGAAGATCATTGAATATCTGTTTGTAATTTTATTTTCTTTTTGAATGCAACGTGTCAAATCCGTGTTTATCTCATTTATCGCAAAAATACTCGATAAACCATCGCAGCATTCCATTAAAATGGAAGAACGCCTCAATGACTGGCATATACAAAATTTGAATCCAGATATTGTTCATACGAAACTGTTTACACAAACCATCTGCGATTTCATTTTCGTTTCTCATTTTATCGCTGAAATTGCGTTTAATTAATGTAAATGAAAAAAAAAAATATCCATAGTCAAATCAGCAATTCTGAAATGTCTGTATGAAAGTGTTGCGAAAAATAACCAAATTGCAACAATAACAAAAAAAAATGTGTCACCACCATAAAAATATATAAACCGGCTGTATTTCCATTGTAAACAATTGATGAATATTTTTGTTCTTATTTCTCTTATTCTCTCCTATTTTTTCAGGTGGAGTTCTGTACATTTGGTTTAGCATAGTGACGCTATACAAAGAAATGAAAGCCGAGGAGCAGGCAAATTCTGGCGTGCAAATGTCCTACGTCGAGGAGAATCCATCACAACTACCACCGTACAGTGTGCTGACAATCGATAAATAAATTCATCTGCTGTCATCGGCATCATCGTTTGCTATAATTAAACTCCTGAGCAGAAAACCAATTCGAAAATATATCAATTGTTCAACGTAATATTTCAATTTAAATAAAAAAAAATTTAATTAGACAATATTCGAACTGTGAGATAAATAGAATACGATTGAATGCAGAAATGAATGGAAAAAAACTTCCATGAGAAGAAAATTTGGAATCTTTGTTAATAAAATGCAGCGATGATAATTTAATTGACAAAATCGTACTTTTTATGCAATCTCAATGACGTTGAACTTTTGTGTAGTTTTTGTCAAAATAATTCAGATCTATAGATGATTAAGGTTTAAAAAAAAAGCAATAAAAATAATATCTCCTGTTAGCTGTTAATGTATATTTAAAAAAAAACACACATTTGTCGTAAACGATTTAACGTTTAATAGCAAAAAAAATGAGCTGACACACGATCGTGTCGATGTGCTTCAAATAACCAAATATTTAGTTAAGTTAAAAGATAAAAAAAAATGTGAATAAATAAATACTTCATTAAACGAAAACAATGGCTAACTTTCTGTCGCGTGATATTTTCTTTTTTGTAGAGATAAAAAAAGCATTCGGTTTCGGGTGATTTATTCTATTCAATACTGAACTGAAGCAAATTTCTCAATAGTTGAATCATAGCTGGTCGAATCAATATTTTGTCCATTTCGCTTTTGTATGATCCCATTTCATTACTGATACATTGTTTTTTTTTTTCACATCAAACGATGCAAGTTATCTACGGAAATTTCCATTCCCTTTCGATCATCATTGTGACAGTTGACACTGAAAACAAACAATGATTTATGACTTTTTTTCTATAATGTGACTAAATATAACGCACATTTCAAATGATTTTATTTTCAAAAAGACGTATAATTTTTGTTTATCTCATAATTAATGGATGCATATAGTGCATACTGATTCCAATCTTTCCAATTTCCAAACACTTTCGTATATTGATAGAAAAATAAATGGATCTTGTTTGTATTTATTTGGGATGGTGATTATAATAAGATTTTATATTTAAAAAAGAGAGTCAAACTGAAAAAAAACATTTAGGATCGTAAAATAGTAATATTTCAGCAACGTGAGTAAACTGGATAGGTTGCGACGCTATTTCGGTTATTGATCAAGCTAGAATATTCGCTGTTTGGTGAGCTTCGTCGAATGTCATCGTAGAGTGAATAAATCGCTAAATATGCGTACACATAAATTCCTGGTAGAAAATAAGAAAAAGTTTCATTAGTCATTTTATCGATTTATAGCAATATATGTATTTTTTTTCATCGGCTTACCGAATATGATAATGCCTGCGACAATGAAAGGTAAAGTGCTTGTAATATTGTCCATATGCTGCGAGGTGATTGTTAGGTACAAACTAGTCGCGGCTGCAATGGCATTGAATGCCAACGAAATAAAGGTATTGATAAGCCATGGAATAACGAGCAACCGATTGCGCTGTAAAAAAAAATAAACATTTTACTTATTTAATACGGATTTTTTTAATGCTTACGATGAATGTTTTGAAAACACATCATATGGCATTTTATGTTATGTCTATTGCATTCAATCCGAACAATTTTCGATTGTTTCTATTTTATGGTGAAAATTCACTGATATTGTTGTTTTTGTTGGTCATTTATTTTCAAAAACTTGTTTTATTCCATCGAAATAGAAACAAACGGCTTTAATTCAATCAACAATCGTGATGTTTTTCTTTTTCATTGTTTTCTTATTTAAACAGTTTATCTGATAAAGCTTATCAAACACACTTGAACAACTGAACATAAAAGTCTAAGCAAGAAGAACACATAAAACGACAGAATTACTGCTGTGTTCTTTGCTTCATTTCTTTTTCTCGTAAATTCGTATAATTGTATTATAATTATGAAAGTTACCTTGACTGTTCCAGCGATGAGTAATCCTGAAGCCAATAAATCGATGATATTAAATGCAATATATGTGCCCAAAACGATGACGAACGCTGCAAATGAAAAATTTTAAACATTTCCATTGATTGGATGATATGACAAAATACTTACAATGACGCAAAGAATTAATATCCTCATTGGGAAAATTTTTGGGTGTAACGAGACTGTCAATATTTTCAATCATTAAAATGCTGAAAATGCATGATGTTATTGATTCGGCCAAGCCCAGCCATCCTATCAACAGGCCCGTTGTGTACAGATCAAAACAGAAGAATTTTTGTACCATTTTTGTTCTTGTTATTGAATTTGTTTTCATTCACAGAAAATTCCGTCGATGGTTCATAAAATACTGCGCAGTTGAAATATATAAAAGGAAGATAAATGAATAGAAAAAACAAAACACACCAGAGTGCATTCGAATAATATCATGAGCAATTGTACGTGTATCTGTATTGGTTTAGAAACTCTTTATTCACTTAAATCATCTAATTAAAACGCCATTTTTATGCAATTGAGACAAAAATATACGAACGATCAAAATAAATTATGCGAACCTTTGGTTTGGAAAACTCAATTTCACATCAATATTGTTTGAATTTATTTATTTTTTTCTTTGAATTTTTGTGACCGATTACTTCACATTTCACCGCTCTTTATGAAATTATTCGGTGTAATAGTTTATTCGACGCTTTTAATCGAATGAATCAATTGCTCATGTGAACAAGTGCTTATACAACACTAACAGTATTATTATCTTTTTTTAATGCATATATAGGTATTGTTATAATTGAACGTGTATGAGTTTCAATTAAAAAAAAAAAAAAACAGATTAATAGATAAACGAAAAGAGACACACTTACTCGGTACTGTTTTGAAATTGTAATTGATTTGAAAAGAATTGGTTGCAATCGATAAAATGAAATTATTATTAATATCGATGATTTATTTAAAAATTGCAATACGCATCACCTTTTGTTAATATACAACGTAGTTATATTTGGAAAATAAAGCGACGATTCATTTGACACTTAAAAAAATGAGGTTATGTATGTCTTTTGTTTACTGTTTATCTAGGCTACCAACCTTTGAACTCTACACACTTTTTCTCTCCACACAACATTTTCAAATCCGTTTTTGTTTTGAAGCGCACAGTGATCAATTCAAAAATGAGAATATATCAACCAAAATCACAATTTGAATAAGTCAAGATGTGTTAGCATTGAGATTTGGTAGAATAACTCAAGTAATGAATCTCTTAAATGGAATTGAAATTAAGAGAAAAGAAAAACTATATTTTACCAACTGCAAAAATATAATGAAATTTTTACCTGTTTAAGCATAAGAGAGTAGCTGATGATTCATTCTCAATACAACACTCGTATTTCGCCAGCATAAATGTACTTTTAATTCATGCTCTTTGCAATCATTGCAATTCAGATCATTTTGAGAATATAATATGTGTCCGTAGGAATAAATATGGCAATACAAAAACTGAATCTGAAGAACGTTACATACATTTTTTTGTATGGAGTTGTACTATGTAAACAAAAAAATTATGTAACGTTCTTCAGATTCCGTTTTTGTATTGCCATATTTATTCCTACGGACACATATGTATTGTTTATTTTTTTCGTCTATCGCCATTTTTTCAATACGTTCACCGTCGTTTTTTGAATCGCCAAATGAAAGTGAATTTATTTGTTTATTATCAACCGATGTGCTTTGAGTATTGGCGAAATATTTTCAAAACAAATCGTATATGTTTATTTGAATTTAATATTCGAGATAAAATACGCAAGGTAATTTCCTTTCAAAGTTTGCAATTTTAGTTTCGATAACGGTGTATAAAAGGATCGTCATATGTAATGCGAAAATAGTCATTTTCAAGTCATTCAAGCAAACATTATAATTTTGCAAAACTTGAAGAAAAAACGAAAAAAAAGCGGGAAACAATGTCGTTCGGTCTCTTCCATGCATGCTATAAGTGCACAACATGTAAACATGAATACGAAAGATTTAACAGGAATTGCTTGTTACGGAATGTTTCATGTCCAAAATGTGGCACCATTAATACCCTAGTAAGTAAAACTACGACTTGATCAAAGAATTCAAAAACGATTCTAATTGTACTTGATTTTTTATTAATTTCAGCATCACTTTAAGGATGAAGAAGAACAGTAGAAAAAACTTGCATTGAAACCCATTTTTTTAAATAAAATGTTCATTAAGTGAATAAAATGGTATTTTGGAAAAATATCAACACAAATCCAAGCATTTTTTTTTTTTTTTTGAATATGTGAATGTAGAACTTTCTTAATTTTCAAAGCTTAGGAACTTTTCTCAAATACTACGGAAGTGAGTTAAAGGTAATCTTGAAGTACCTTTTATGATAGAGTTAATAAATGAAAAAAATCATCTAGTCATTAGAAAGAAAACTTTAATTGATGTTTTTAACAGACTAAGTCGCTTCGAACAAAAAAAAGTCATACTTGAAAGCTCTATTAAAAATAACTATTCTATCTTTGGATAAAATTGATAAAAATTATTTATATTTTTTTCCAAAATAACAAATTTTCGAATTACGTATTTATATGATGGTTGTATCATATTTATAAATAGTTTGTTATTAATTTAAGAAGGTTCAACATTTATTTATTGTTTAGCCATCATACAGTGTTTACTGTACTTCAAAGAAATTCTAGAAGTGGCTGATCAATATCAACTTTTATGAAAACAATTGAGCCAATTGCTTTGTCAGAAAAAAACAAGAAAATTGGATGAATCATTTTCAACTCGAGTCAGGCGGAAATATCGTGGTTAGAAAATGCATTCCAAGCACTTTGCAAATAATGAATCGTCGCAATCCAGTGCTGATGTCATTTCGGTGAATGAAAAATCATTTGAGAATTTATATAATTCACTTTTGTTTATAAATTGCTTCTGTGTGAATGATGCAATTTAATGCTATCAACAAAAATTCTTTGAATTGAAAGTCATCAAATCTGCCAAAAGTGACAATATAATGGTGAACACCACATCTTGGCGATTGCACAATTTCGGCAACGATTGCAATAATCATGACATCGAAGTTGATAAACCATATTTGTATACATTGAGTTCTCTAATAGCCAATGCATTGCTTTATTTATGTATTTCTGAAATATTGGCGAAACATGTTTAAAAGAAATTGCATCGTTTAAATAAAATTTCCAGACAATGGATGGTAATTTCCTTTAAAAATGAACACGTTTGCAATTTTAGGTCCGATAATGGTGTATAAAAGAACAGCCTCATGCAGTGCGAAAATAGTCATTTTCAGACAACATTCAATCTATTATATTTTTGTTCAGCTAAATTTAAAGAAAAGTAAAAAAAAGTGGTGAACAATGTCGGACGATCGCTGGCACACATACTATGAATGCATCAATTGTAATGATATATATGACACCATTAACACGCAAGCAAGTCAGAGCCGTCCATGTCCCAAATGTAAAACCATCAATTATCCGATACCCGGTGGTGATGTAAGTGAAACTATCATTTAAATAGATTTTGAGAACCAACTGTTCGCATGATTTCTAATTACTTGATTTTATTCATTTGTATCAATTTCAGCTTCCCTTCAAGGATGGTCAAACTGTGCCAAAGATGTAAGGTGTAACACTTACAATTCAACAGATGATAACAACTGGTTGCCGTTGTCTTTCAACAGTAGAAAAAACTTCTACGGAAAACATAATTTTGTCAAATAAAATAAAGTCTGAATAAATAGATCCAATTCGTCACTTGGCAAAATATCAAACAAAATCTAAGCATTTTTAATCAAATATCTGTTGTGTAGTCGATTGATCATTTTTTACAGGAAATTTAGGTAAATTTCTCAAATACCAAGGTGAATTAAAGGTAATCTTGATCAATCTTTTTCATGATAGAGTTGATAAATGTAGAAAAAACCATATTTAACAGGATACATTTTAAATTGCCTCGAATCATTTGTATGGGAAAACATAATGTAAGTATTCCTTTGAAAACGTTTGAATAAAAATGAAAATATTTACAAATAATTGAGATAAAAGTAAATATTCAAATCTTCAGTGGAAACGCATTTTTACATGAAATTGCTGATGATCCTATTCATATTCTCCTCCTAGACTCTTTAACGGAGTCCTTTCATGCCAAAATATCATATAAATCGATAAACACGCTGAGTCATTAGATAAATCTAGGCAGAAATATGGTTGCTCTTTTACTTCGGATTTTAATTTATTTTAGATTTAATTACCCTGCTCATTAGTCATTTTGAATATGTATTTTCTTGACTTTTTTTATTGGTCGCTGTCGTTTGTATGAACAACGAAAGTGACAAAAAAAAAATGTTTGTATATATTCTCATTATTTAATGTTCATTGTAATTTTATCGCATCGTTCAGATGTCTTTTGAACAGAATTTCAAGATCAATCGTATATAAAAGGATCGCCTTATACAGTGCAATTTAGTCAAATTCTGACATTAAGCAAGTACGATTTTTTGTTCAGCTCAACTAAAAAAAAGAGCTACAATGTCGGACGATCGTTGGCGTGCGCATTATAAATGCACCAATTGTTATCAATATGACGTTATAAACAGTGCACTGCACCAGAGTGCCCCATGTCCAAAATGTGGCATCGTAAATTATCCGTTTATGGTGTAAGTTAATTTATGCTTCGAATTTATCTTTAATTGGACATTTAAAAAAATACATTCATAATATTTGAAATAAAGGATCGATTTCTCAATATCAAATTGTACATTAGAATTGAAATCTTTTTTTTTTTTTTTCAATTGAATCAATTTTAGAGCCATTATAAGGAGGGAAAGAAGTTCCGAACGAGCGATGATAAAAAAATTCAAAAAACGATCAGCTGAATGATTGCCGTTTTCCTTCAATCGAAGAATAAATTTTTACGGAAAACAATTACGATTATGATTGAATGAATGAACCCAATGCATGACAAAAGATAAACATGTATACTCGTATAATAAATAATTTCATTTATAAAAATTCTTCATAGAAAGACTTTTTCTAATCAACATATTTAATAAAAAAGAAATGGCCTGTAAATTGCTTTGAAAAATTGATTATTTGCATTAAAAAGCATAATTTGCTGCCGAAAGGTGCAATTTTATTCAAATCAAAGTTGAAAGAAATAAAATAGCCAATGATTCATTCTCAAACAGAGTCAAGCGAAAAAGTGTTTGATTTCATCATGGTCTGCAGAAAATGCAACCCAAGCACTTTAAAAATGATAAATCATGGTGATACAGCCATATATATTGTCATGTCTGTGAATCAAAAATCATTCAATTGGAAAATGTATATAATTAACTTTTGTTTATTAAACGCTTCTGTATTCGTTGAATTGAAAGTCATCAAATCTGCTAAAAGCGACAATATACTGGTGAACACTGGCAATTACTCAATTTTGGCAACGATTGCAAGAATAATAAAATCGAAATTGATAAACCATTTTTGTATACATTGAGTTTGTTAACATTCGATGCATTGCTTTATTTATGTATTTCTGAAGTATTGCCGAAACATGTTTAAAAGAAATCGCATCCATTTGTTTAGATTTCGTTTAAAGTATAAAGCATATCTTTGAAATATTTTTGGTGGTAGTGAACGTATGCTGTTACTGACAATAGAAAATCTAATATTTTCATGCTGAATTCTTAATTACTTTCTGCTAGAATTACTAATTTTGACTTCCTTTATACACGATCAATTTGATCAACTACAAATGATTCACATACAACGGTGAAAATGGTCCCAACAAAACTTCAAACTCCATGTATGACACGAACAATCATTTGAAATAACTCAAGGGCTACGCAAAACAATTAAACTATCAAAATTTAACATAAAAATTGATCTAAGATATAGAATGGGGAAGTTTCGTTACTCTTGGGCTTCAACAATAACATAAACTAATAATTGTTAAATAATGAACAAAAAAAAAATAATTGTTGGATTAGAGATATTAAGAATTAAAATTCAATTTGCTTGTACCTCAAAGAATTTTCTTTGAGTCATCTTCAATCAAACTTCTTTATTTAAAAGCATTTCACAATAATCAGATATAATAAACAGTTTTCTTTTATCATCCACAATCTCGAGGCATTTTAAATCACCATATCATTATCGCTGATATCATTTTCATCTGACTTATTAGACTTCTTGAAAAGTTCATGGGAAGAAAATTGAATAATCCAAAAATATGCATGCCACACTGAAAATCAAACCAAAATAATGTTAAATTAGTTTTATTACTCTGAAAGTGTAATTCTTCTTCTTGTTAGATTGTTCAATCAGAGCAAAAAAATTGGCAATAAAACTACGAAAAACCATTGATTTGAACCACGGAATTTTGATTTTCATTATTCTCAAGCTGTTTTTCTGTAATTTCAACATAGTTCCGGATAAGACTGGTAATCAATAGTTGGCTTATAGAACCTCATGTAAATTTGTTATATAGTTCTGTGCAGATTTGGAAGAGTAAGGATAAGTAATGAGAGTCAATTTTGCACTTACCTACAAGAATAAACTGTATAACACAGGCGATAATCAAAATAGTTTTTATCTGTACGGCCCATAGCGGATCCTTAATTTTGAAGTCAAATGTCATACGTAGAATGACCAAAACAATTGGAGTAAGAATATGGAACAAGATGCATATAGCTGTCCACACCAATGAAGGAATTATTAAGAGAGGCTTCTCCTGTTAAAAAAAATACATGTCAATAAATTGCGTGACTGAGAAAAGAATTTATTAATTCCGTTACCTTTACAACGGCAAATATAAACAGAAGGAAAATTGCAATGGAAAACACTATAAAAGAGTAGAAATTTGGTAGAAAATGGTTTCCAAAAGAAAAACGTACAATTGTAGGAAAAAAGCTCACTCGGTATAATTGCAACATATCCATAAGATGAATACAAATCACTACGAACTATAATTGCAATGCCAGAACCAACCTCCAACAAATTCCACATAATTGTTATCATAGCGGAAATAATTGCGCCAATTTTAAGATTTATGCAGCAGCAACAATATTGCACTAATGGGAAACCCATTTTCTTAGTTTGTATTGTGTTAAAATAATAACTGAAGTGAACAAAAAACTGTTTATCCGAAGAACACGAGAAAAATGTCTTTCAAATCAATATTGATCTGCGATTCTCTTAAATTAACAAAATATTTGACACCGAATTTCTTTTCAAACTGTTTTTAATCGTGTACGTTTTCTTAAGCTTTTAAAGTGAAAATGGCCGAATATTTTAATCCGCATCAAATACCTTTATAAATAGTAAATACAATAAACAATATTTATCTAATGACGTTTTATTCTATCAAAATCGATTATCGAAAAGAAGCTAATCAATATCGAATTGCCTGGTGATACAGATATCACGGTTTATACAACTTTAACACTTTTTGCGTATTTTTTTTTAATTACCTAATATTCTTGAATTTGTTGTGTGCGACATGTCACCAAAAATGGGTTGACAATTATATTCTTTGATTTTATTGTCTCACATGTTTATGAAGTGATCGATAAATTGTCACAAATGTCTTTAGCAAAAGTTTTTTGTTGCCATTACTGTCTTTGATTACTAACTATGTGTTGCGAATAGACGTTCTAGAATCTAGACCATTCTCCCATTCAAAATGTGACGGTTAAAAGACTTAACTATTTGTCACCTATCAATCTAAATCAATAAAAATGCGTGCGCAAATTTTATGATACAACGTAGTCTCGTCTTTTAGTGTGACATTAATAAATAAAATCATTTACGCATTAAAAGCAAAATTAAATTCGAAACACGAATGGTATTATATTATACCAATCAGATCGTTTTCCATTAATTTGTTGTCCATTTTATATAATTTAATTTTTTTTTCTTCATATTTTTCATTTTTGATTTTAAGCTTATTTCATTTCGAGTCAATGTTTTACATAAATCATAAATGACACAGGGGGTGTAAGCGCGAATAATTCAAATTGCTTTTTTTTGTTACGTTATTATTCAGAATATCTTATGTTATAAATAAAATAGGTCGCAATAGGTTAGTCTATATTTTATTTGTGTCAACAACTGACTATTTGGTAGAAACAATACATTTATGAAAAATGTTTACAAAGATAATTCATTCGAATGCAATCAAAAACTGTAAGAAAAAAAAAGAAAATGTATGCTCTTCTCTACTATGTTAAGTTATTTACACCAACCGATTATAACGGAAGGAATCAGTATAATCCTTAGGATTGATTCTGCATTGTAGTACATATAAACGTTCAGAGATTGAGAAATTACAATCAATGTCAATGACACCATTTCAATTGTTACATTAACCATCGTTAGTAATAAGAAATGCGGTTTTTCCTGTTGAAATACAATTTAATTATTTCCATTCAAAATCGTATGAAGAAAGTTTTGTAAAAAGCCGTCGTTTTTGCCACTGTCAAAAGATAAGATTGCATTTTTTAAAATGTAAAAATAAATACTGCATAGACTAAACATCTACTTTGATTGACAAATATATTTTCGAATACAAACAAAATCTTAAATTAAATGCGGTTAGAAAAAATGTTTGCTGACAATACTGTTTTACACACAATACGTCAGTTATGAACTTGCGTCAGCTTATCTAATTACCTTTATCACATCATATACATATATAGATTTTATCAGAAATCACCTAGAAGTACTTCCTCGAAATGCCGAGACACAACAGTCAGTCTCAGTTAATGTAACAAATTACAATATTAATTTTTGATTAATTTTCGAGTACGAATGGTGATTGGTGATGCTTAAGGCTGCTGATTCGGTTGAACTGCTGGCTGTCGCGGTGATCGTCTGTCTAATCCTGCCGGAATATCCCATCCAAACAGCTCACAATGTCCTATTCAAAAGTAAACACACACACGGAAATAATGTATAGATTATTGGCAGAAATGATTTTTTTTCTTAAATCTATACAAATGTTTAGATATCTCAACAGAAATTTATTTTTTTATTAAAAAAATATTTTCTCAATGTCATTAAATATTGCATACATATTTATCATCGAGCGCTAAAATAGATCATTCAAATAGTGTGCATTTCATTTAATATGTAGAATATATGCAAATGCAAATTTCTAATACACATATCTTTGATGAGAATGCATTTGGCGGCGACGATATCACGATCCCAAGATGTCTTGTGTACAGCCATTAGTAGTTGCTCGTCTTCGATTTCCAATTCATTTTCATCATCGACTGCATATGGCTGTTGAACAGTTGCATACGGTGCATCAGCATTGACTTGAGCATATTCCAATTTACCACTCACTGTGTTTACTTGCCAATTTTTTGGATACACGGCCACCTTAGACAGTAAACGTTCAGCAGCAATATCGAATTCTTGCTCAGTCATGAGTCCTTCTGCCCAAAATCGCATCAAATAAAGTTCAACGACATCTTTGTTGTACCTCAATTGCCGTTTGCTGCGCTGTGCTACGATTTTTGATGGTAAATATTCGGCGAAAATTGAATCGGGCTCCGCTCCACAATTTTCACACACTTTGAATCGATGGCTCCTTGTGGCTGGATCAAATCGTCGCCCACACTTTGCACAATGCTGCGATGTACCCCACTCATCTGTTTTGCGCACACGACAATTGCGACGTTTTCGAAAGCCTTTGAGTAGTTTGCGCGTACCTGGAGCTCTCACATGCTTTTTGATTCGAATGCACGAGTTTGGTGATATTTCTGCATTTCCCATGTGAATAATTGCGGCTTTATGATTGACCAAATTCCCAGTGAGTTTATCAACGGTTCGATTCGATTCGACGTACTTGTCAAACTGCAACAGCGTGTATTTCGGTGTTGTATACACGGCCATTCCTTTCTTGAGCATTTTGATACGATGATGAACGTAATCAATCCAGAGTATGCCCAGTGGTGATGGCATTCGCTGATACAATTGTCGATTATTTCGATCGTCCTGCTCCTCTTGGGTGAACTGCTTCGTCCATCGTTTTGCCTTTACATCGCGCGTCTTCTGCTTTGCCAGCCAATGGTACTTCTTACTGGACATTTTCATGTTGACCTGAAATGGAAAAGTGAAGAAAAAATTATTCGCGTAACTGTATCACTTTCTATTTCTCAATAATGCCAAAAATTTAAACACTCACTTCTTTCTTTGTTTCGATATTTCGACGAACTGTGGCATTCCATGTTTTCATGCCTGGATCGATTCCCAGTTCGTAAGCAAATTTTCCGCCGATGAATTGCTTTCGAAGAATATCATCATTCTGCATCTGTTGCTCGTATTGCTTTGACATGCGATACATAATCGACACAGATTCACCGTTGCTGACGATGGTATAATGGAATTCTTTGTTTTTCTTCAGTTTTCGATTGATGGTCGTAAAATCGAATACTTGATTCCAATAGAATTCTTTGTTCTGGCGAATGTAACTTTCGGTTGCTTGTCTACCATCAACTTGTGGAAGTTGTTTCGATTCGGCCAGCATTCGATAGAAGACATCATTGCACATGAACACTGCCTTTCGTTGATAATCAGGCAATGGAACAACCGAGAGATTTTTGATATTTGGTATCTTCACATTGTTATCTTGCGCCCAATTGTGCCACTCATCGATTTCTGTCTGCATAACGAGCCACATTGCAGTTGCTTTGAACCAATAATCGCCTTTTGAAAAATCCTTGATGTTGTGATCATTGGTTGGGCCACCAACTTCTCGCACAATTGCAGTAACCATGCCAGTAAGTAATGTTCGCTTGTGTCGTTTGAAATCTGCATTTTGATGAGTGTCACGGATCGCATTGTAGCCTCGAATCATCAAATCGACTGCATTGTCAATGTCCTTCTTGTCGAATTTCCAACCGGTAGACACTGCGTTGAATTGCCACGCTCGCATTCGCAGATAATTTTTCAACTTCTTCTTGCAGTGTGTCGTTTGACCGGTTTTCAAGCATCGCGTGTGATTTTGGCACAGCGTTTTAAAATGATTACCAAAATAATCGTTCTTGGGCCAGGTGAAATTATTTTCTGGACTGAGCTCTTCGACAAACTGACGGAAATGTGGCTCCATATTCTCACCCTCTTTGTTTTTTTGCAAGACGGCATAGAAACATTGCTCAATCACTTCTTCGCCACGATTCTTTTCAACGAGCTGTCCTTTCTCCTTTCCTTTTTTGGCCGGATACGTTCGGTTTTTAAAAAACTCCCACTGTCGATTCATTTGTGCCGATTTCACTTTATCCAAGAAAAGTAATGATGCCAAAACGGTGATTTTCGTTGACATTATGCTTTTCTGTTCGATCCACGGTTTGACAATGTGATTGAACTCTGGTCGTAAAATTGTGTTGAGGCGCATTTTAATCGCGAACAATCCATTATCGTTTACATCAGCATCCTTTTCTTTTTGCGCATTCGTTTGAAATTTGTATCGCTTTTTTCTTGGCGCTGTAGCAGCCGTAGTTTCACCAGTCGTTGACATGTTGAACTAAAACGAAATAAAAAAAAACACACGCGCAATTTAGAACACAAATAAAATGACAAATATATTTTCTGCACTGTGTAATTTTTAAATGAATTGAATCAATAGGAAGAACTGAATATATGGGGACAAAACTGACACTTGATGTTACCTGATTGAATGTTAAGCGTGAAGTGATTCAAAATCGACAAATTGAGTGATATTAACTCTTTTGAATGCAACATATAAATGCAAACCACACCAACACGGTCCAAAGTTGAATCGAAATATTTGCAGTTTCAGCTTGTGAATGTTTTGTTATTATCAAAACTAAACAAAATCAAACACAAAATTCACCGCAAATATCTCGTTTGAAAACAATCGGTTGACAATGATTCCAATAGAAAACCGCCTACAGCGAAAAATAAACTTCTTTGAAAGCAAGAAACAAATATAACATACACTGACACAATCCAAAAATATGTTTTAGCACTTTTATCAATCGAATCCAATGAAAATATGACGATGCAAATTCAAATAAAAAAAACATTGATTCTGACAAGTTTCAACACGATCGTTTCATTTGAACCAACACACTTCTCCACATTCCGATGGTTCTGTGTCGAAAGCATTCTTATACTGCACACATTTTTTGTTTATAAAGCGTTTGAATAAGAATGTATGGTACGGAACCAATAAACGGAATCACAGTTTGTATGTAAACACTTAAGAGCAAAAGAAACGGAATGATTATTATTATTAGCCTATCGCGATCGATATAAATGTGTATGTGTTGTATGGACTGCTTGGTTCAAATCATAAAATGATTTTACAGGCCAAAAAAACGGCTGACACAGCGAACAACACGATTCTGAAAATGCGTTGAATATAAATACTTTCTTTTGTTTATTTATCGAATTCTAAAGAATCGCAACAATATTCTATCAAAGCGAACAGTGTCGATATACGTGCAAACAGCAAAGAGAATTGTACTTCAAATTCTAATCAACTATATTTTCAGATATGTTTTCGTTTCGGGAAGTGCTAAAATCAATCGCTTCGTTATATGAATGCCATTTACTAACATAGAATTTTGCCTTCTTTGAATTAAGAAATACCATTTTTTTATTTGCTGATACGGGAAACACTCTAATGTACATATCGAAATTTAGCCTGTTAACAAAATCCCTAATGATATTTTGCCGTTAATTTTGCCCTAATGATTTTATGCATTACAATGAAATTATTATTAAAAATGCACAAAAATCGTCCCTTCGGAAAAAGTCATTTATGCTAATTATCTTTTTTTCTCATTCGTTAATGAGATGCTATTGCTGTGTATAAATAATGCTGTCCATTTGCCCATGAAACCATTAAGTTCTCCGATCTTAAACAGTGACATATCAGTCTACTTTCAACAGATTTTCTTATCCAAAAAAGATAATAATTGGATTGTTACAATAGTGGTAATCGTGAGTATATTTTTTTCATTTAATTAAATAAAATTGAGTAAAATAATCGAATTTAATTTTCATTTTAACAGATCGAATAAAAATAAACAATGGAAATGGCACCATCGCAAAATTCACCAAAACATATACTAAATGCTTTAAATTACGATTGCATTACAGAAATCTTTCGTCGATTGACTAATGCGGATGATTTTCTGAGCGCTGCTGAAACATGTACAAAATTTCAATCGTGTGCAACGGACATATTTCGTTCTATGGAGTCCAAATACTTTAAAAACTACATTATCAGACATGAAAATTTCCCAATCATTTTTGGCCATTTGATGCAATCAGCCAAATGCTTTCAAATGCGTAATGAATCATTTATTACTAATAATAATATATTTCAATTAGTTTCCAAATACTGTGGAAAATCCGTTAAGGACCTAGTCATCATCTTTGGAGTACCACCACCGAATACACTGAATCAATTTACTGCTCTAGAAAAATTGACATTCTACAAAAGTACACCACAAAACATTGAGCTGAATTCTCCAATAAAATGTTTGAGTTTAAATCGGATCAATATATTAGAGCCACAACCCTGGTTTGTTAAGAATTTCCCGGAATTGGAACACGTTAAACTCAATTCTATCATGCATATGAACGATAATGTATTTAATGAATTTGTGTCGCTTAATCCACAGCTGAAAAGTTTAGATGTGATGCACTGTTCACTTACAATGAACATTGTTAAAACTCTTACACGTTGTTTACCAAACTTGGAGCATTTGTGCTTTCTTCATCTAGACTTTTTTGGATTCTATAGTTTCATGCAAAATAATTTACGCGAATTCATCGTAGATTTTGTTAAATTTCAAAATCTGAAGAGTTTTGTATGGGGCAATTATTATGGATTATCAGTAGAAATGCTAATTAACGCATGTGTCAAATCCAACATTCAGCTGGAAAGTTTATCATTTTATGCGGCGGATGAAGATTTGGCAAACGAAAAGGTGTTTAAATTGAAGACACTCAAACATTTGACTATTCATTGGGGCATTTCCCTCCAAAGACTTCACATGTTGTTGAAGACCCAAACTAACTTGGAAACAATTGAATTTGATTGTGACAAATCATTTCGAACATGGGTAAATCACGAATCAATTACTGCGTATCTTAAATTGTATATAAGTGAAGCACTGAGTTACGGAAATTTGACTCAAATAATATGTTGCCTGCATAATATTAAAATCGATCTTAAAATGTACGAATCCGTTTTGGCATCATCCAAGAATCGTTTAAATGTGCGATTAGAAGCATCTTCTGCATTCTACCTCGACGTTCCGGAAGAAATTTTGAAAGCTAATCGAGAATGGTTGGAAGTTAAAGTCTGCAGTGAAATGCCTTGGCTCTGATTACTGTTTATATTCAGGTGAAATGTAGTAATTTCGGTTGCTGTGTAAAATATAATATGCCTATTTTAACCTGGTTTCCTTTGAGCAAAATATACGTAATGCGTACGTCGAACACCCAGAAAATTGCAGAAAAAGGAAACATAATCGAAAATACCATTCTGATTAAATTTTATACTATATATTTACTATTCATAATTTTGAATTCTTTACATGGTTTTTTTAGATATCTAACATTGATTCAAATCGAATGTGAAAAAATGAAGAGAATTACTACTATCGGTTATATATTGATTAAAAAAATAAATGATTTGCAATGAATAATTTTTTCATTTTACGAAATACAATATAGTTCATACTTAATTAGGTTCATTTAAACGCAATGTCATGTCTTAAGCCTTAAACTCGGCGGTATATTCAGCGGTAGCATCATTTTTGGATGCTTCATCTTTAGCTGCTTCAACTTGATTGAGTTCAGATTTCGAATTTGTCGGATCAGCAGACATGGATTTGTAGAGCGAATAAAATATTAAAACCGAGCAAAAATGCAACGCTGAAATGGGAAAAAGGAAAATTGATTGGTCGAAAATCGCAGAAGAGCATCAAAAATTATTTGATATATATTTTACCTGTATGAAAAATGGACGAAACAATCGGAATAAAGATTTCATTGATACAATAATTTTTGCTTAATTGTTTAAGCAAACAAACACTATAAAAAGCAAAAGCCAATGGTACTATATTCAGAAGACATTCTAGTGCTGAAAACGCCAACTCACACAAAGACGCCATCATTAATTTCGGACGATTCTATGAAGATGAAAGAGAAATTGATATAATTCATAATAATTGATCTATATAAAAAAAACAGATAATCCATTGACCCTACCATGTGAATGCCATAGAGAAGGCAAAGGAGCGAAACCACCGATACTACTGAAATTAGAGAAAAATGAACAAACACACGTTATTCACCAAAGCAACGAAAACAAATATAATTTTAAGGAAACTCACTAGAGTTGACCAATACGTCCACTTTGTCCTTCTCTCCGTCGTAAAAATCAAACACCATGTCAATGCATTCCCAGAATATTTGTAACCATGCCAAAACTAAACCAACAGACTTTAGATCGGAACCAAAAAATTGACGAATTGTAAACATCATTTTGTAATGCGTTGATATTTTTCTGTAAAACTGGAAATCAATTTTTTGTTTTGAAATATGTCCGTATCACTTTTTTTTTACATATAAATGAAATAAAATGAAAACTCGTTTTGAATGATATATTTTTAAAATGATATTTTTGCCAAAAGTTGAAAAGTAATTGGAATCTAATACAACTGTCTAATGAAGGAGTCCAACAGTCGAAACTAAAACTGTTCAAATTACCTTAGTGATTGTGTCTTCGTTATTGATCAGATTATTGAGTGCAGTCTATCGTTTTGGAACTCGTGAAGCGGCTTTGACAATTGTTAATGTCTCGAATGAAACTGATTGCATACGTGTCAAACTACCCAGGCATATGACTCAACGTATCGAATTTATACAATTAGTTTTGACTGCAGACAACAAAATCAAAAAAAAAATGCTGAACACGATGTAATCTTCAAATTTCCTTTATTAATATCTTTATTTTTTATTTATAAAAGCCAATATATTCTGAAGTCACCGTTTTAAACAAATCGAAAAATCACTGTTTACACATATAGGATCAAGATATATGAATAAGCAAAAATTGATATCAAAAATATTCGAGTGTGATTCATATAACACCATTTGTAATTTGGAAAAAGTTTTACCATTCATATTTTAATCTTATCTTAATAAGAAAATAAGAATAAAAATTTAACTATTACAGTTTTAGATAAAACTTTTTTGTTTTTGACTCTTTTCTTCAAAAAAGACAAATTTAATTTGCGCTTTTCGAATTTCTTATACGGTTGTCTTTATCAATATTCTTTTCAGCTAGATATTTTAAGAAAGTACTTTCGAAGAGGTCAAAGTTTGCAGTCGATTCGACTTCCTTAACAGAAAAATCATTGTATGTCTGTTTAAGATTCCATTGAATTTCCCAAAGTCTTGCAAATTCAAAGTATTTTACAAAAAATCTTTCATTATTTTTAGCAATTAGCATTTCACAACACACGTCGATGACTCATCATCATATTATATTTGCAGTGAGCGAGAATAAATCCAAATGTCATATGATAAAGAAATCCAATCACAATAATATAAATATTTATCGTTTAAATTGAAAAAATAAAATGAAAATAACAAACGTGCAAAACTCTTTTGTTTACTTCAATATGTGTGCATATTCCGAAACGTTATAAATATCAAAAAATCGCGATAGAGCCATCATTCGTGTTTGGCAACGTTGAACAACAAAATCAAGAACAATCCAATAAGTATATTGTGGTTCGAGAATATTCGAAGTTAAGATGGTTCAATATAAATTATATTATCAGTGCGAACATTGTGGTTACGAATGGGTTAATTACTCTGACGATGAACAAATGGAGGATGAATGTTTTGAATGTAACATGATAACATATCCTTATGACGCTAAAGTGAGTTTTACCATTTTTTAATATTTAAATTGATTAAAAAAGTGAATCAAAAAATTAAAATTATTGACAAACATTGCAGAAAATATAACAACAGACATCGAGTATTGGACATATATTGGGCAGTAGATACTCCAACGATTCTGCCATAAAATACAATCTGTATACAATGTCTTCACTTGCCTCCAAAAAAAGTCGATGAATGATTTCAAATTTCGAATAAACTCATTTTAATTTTTTATTCAGATTTTCTAAAAATTACAAAAAAAATACATTCATAATTTTTACATAGTATTACATATATTTTTCCAGAAATGTCACTATTTTTTCTTCAGATTTGAATAATAAATATGTTTTAAAAAGAATATATGTAAACTGTTTAATTTATCGTGACCAATTTTTACAAAGATTTTTTGATTAGGTTCGAAATCGCATTTAGTTGCAACAAAAAAATTACAAGGAATTCACTTTTTCTTGTTTACACCCTAATTGTATCCATCCATTGGTAAAATTACCATGCTCCAGGGAGCGATTCAGATAATGGGGGCAGCCCAAAAAAGTGTATCACCATTTTCAAGAAAGAGACCGTCAATACTTCGATTTCATATAAAATTCGAAGTATGGTTGTCTCTGCATATTTGTGATAATTTTGAATACAATTAAACGATGAACATCTTATTTAATACTCCAAAAAATGTTGAAGCTTGAAAACAAAAATGCAGGAACATGTGCAATTGGATGTTACTTCTGGTGGAGAAAGTATTGTCATTTTAGACAATATATTGAATGTGTATTGTGAACTTCAGTTGTGGCAAAAGCTTTTTCGGAAAGCTTTCGTCCCCGTGCATTTTCATAATGGATGCATAGTCGTTATTCATTTTATCTCACGTAAGTGTTGCATGTTGCGTTCATACGTATGGATTGCAGGTGTAGTGAAATCGTTGCCAAACTATTTTAACATTGATATCAATGCCAATGTGAGCAAAACGGTCAATTCACTCCATCTAACGGTGTACCGAATTTGCGAATTTTCTCCTGCCGAAGGAAAAGTGCGCGCGCAAAATTTTGTTTCCTTTCACACACATTCACTCGAGCCGATTTACTTAAAATAGAGAAAAAGAAAAAGACAAATGCACATGCACACATATACATATGCTATAGTCGGTTATAGTTGAAAGTGCAAAAAATAGATATTTCAAGCGAGCATTCAATTGTTAGACGAACCATGTCGAGCAACAAGATGTCAAATAAATTAATTGCACAAACATTGTAACAACGTTTTGATTGCTGTTCAAATGGAATCCAAAATTTCGTGACTGCATTTTTGGCATACGTTCAATATTGCATAAATATCATGTGGCGATGGTGTCGTTGGCATGATGCACTCGTTCAAGTAGAAAAAAAAAGTGAAAAACTTTTAAAATCACGTTTATGAAAAAGTCGATCGGCGAAGTGGGCATTTTAAATAGTTGTGCCTCCGTTCCACCTTGCACATTCAAAGCAACTCATCAGACGGATATATCCATCGATATTAAAAGACATAAGGATATTCTATTTGCATTTTTTTTTTCGCTTCAATTGTGTTGTGCCATTTTCTGTGCAACTGTGAAGTGGTGCTCATTACATATTAACTTTGTTACAATAATAATAGACACTTTTTTGTAGCAATGCAAACAACAATGTGATTCAGTGTGGAAAACAGAATTGACTGTTCTCATTTTCGAAACAATAATCGTTGTAGTAGTAATAATAACAATAATAATAATAATAATAAAGAAAACCAAACATTGCATAACCATATTTAAATAGGTGCAAAATGCGATTGTGAGACAGCATAAGACAGTGTGCAAAATTGAAATATAATCTAAATTTCAAACAAGTCGATATAGAATACCTTTTTTTTATTCAACTCTGATCCATTTGGTGAAATCAAATTTGTGACCAAAGTTCAATAAATATTGCATTAATATTTCAAGTGTGCCAATAAAAAATTACGAATGAAACCAAATGAATAGTAATTTAGATAAAATAGAATGCAAAAGGAAGAATTCATTGGATTTGTTACTGCCCTCACTAAAAATCAATAGTGCACTCATTCTTTGGATGTAGTTTCATGGAATAGACGCAAATAAAGAGAGACAATAAAAAAGTATATGAAAAGAATGGAAAAAGATGCAAACAAGTAAAAAAAAATGTTGAACAAAAAAATGCCAACAAAACCAATTCATAGCGCTGCATGAGAGACACATTCCAAGGGACTAAGAATTTGCTACAAGTGTTAAATAGTGATTCGTTGAGCAATTAATTTTGATGTTCACTCCTTTTGACACGATGACAAAGTACTTATCATGATAAGTTACGGAAACTCTTTAAACATTGAGGGATCTTGCTTTCACCCTTTCTCTCTTTCATCCGACTGTTGTTGTTTGTGTCCTTCTTTTCATTCAACGGTAGGCGTTATTAAATGCTCAATTTGCATAATTCGGATGGCATGTAATGCGGTGGTCCCGATTACCACAAACTAAACGCAAAAAGAAAGGAACTCAACTTGAAAATGAGACGAAATAAAAACGTGCGATACACACAAATGTAAATATGTTGTTGCGCGCCAACAAAAAATTACACGCTTAATTGACACAGCAAGAGAGAGAGAGAGAGTTAAAACGCAACTTCTTTTTATCACGTTACAAATTTAAATGTTTCGTCGGTGTTATATTGTTGTTTAGCTTCCACGTATTTAAATTTTTATATATATTTTCAGTTCGTGTTGTTATTGTTATTTATCTCGATTGTCTTAAGAAATAATGTTGAATATTAAATTTCACGCAAGAAAGTGTTCACATAAGTGATTTTTCAAATGCCTTCATTTGGTCAATGCACGATACCGACTGCGAATTTAGTTGTTGTGTTGATTTTATCAAGATGATAAAACAAGAAACCTATTTGAAATGTAATTTAATGTTGCCGTCACTTTGCGTGGTCGTACAACGTTTATTATATCGGAAGCGTCGACACGTCACATCTTGCTACCACTACAGTAGCCATGGACTGTTTTATGTGCTTTTGTTACTAATTTATAGCCATAGTTCATTGCAATGGCCAGCGACTGTGTTGGCCGGTGATAAAACAACAGCAATAACAACACCAACACCAAAAACAACGATAAACCAAATCAAAGTCAACAAAATTAATGAATATATTACGACATCCAACGAACTGAATGGCATTTTAGCAGCTGTTCGAATGGACGATACCGAAGACGAGTATTTTGAAGACGATCAGGATGACGATAATGATTACAAAGAGCTATTATCAAATAAATCAGGTATCCATCGTAAAATTATTAAATTAAATGGTTTTCAATTATGAAAATGTAAAAAGAAATGTTTTATTTTCATTTGTAGCAAAAGGAATGTATGTGGGATCACCATGCGACGGATGGTGCAACATAAAATTGCATCATGTCATTTGTGATAAAGCGACAAATACTTGTATTTGCGAAAAAAAATATCCAGTCATAATCGGTCTAACCAAAGGATGTGCCAAACGTTAGTATTAAAACTGTATAATGCATAAAATTATACAATTAATTAAATCGATTTGTTGTTTGTCGACTATTGATTTACATACAGCGAAAAAACTGGGAGAACAATGCTTTTATGATCAAACTTGTATGCATAATGATATAAATTCATTGTGTATTCAAATTCGACATAATGCATTGTGCCAATGCGTACATGGATATCATTCAGTAAGTTACCTGAAACCGACTAAACGTGTCTTTTGTACGGAGGGTGAGTTCAATTATTGATTGTTGAATTGACAGAAAAAGAAATAATAATTAACATTTCCAATATAATTATAAAATACATGCTAGATATGTCGACACTGACATCCGATTTACCGACATTGCTGGGAGTGTCGACGGGAATCGCTGTTTTGGCCGGTCTCATTTGTATGGTTTTGCATTTATTCACCAAAACCAAATATCCACGACATCGACAGTTCACTGACAATAATTTACCTCCGCCAATTATGTATTCCAGTGATACAGGTAATTAATATTTATGTTGTCATAAATTATATGAACGATGATGAGTGGGGAATAATATTTTACATTCAAATGTATGTGTGTGATTTTTTTTTTCTCTTTTTCATATCGAATTTAAACTAATTGTATTCAGTTCATTCAGCTCGGCCATCGTCACGTTCGAGCATCCGATCAAATAATTCATTTGGCTCGTTTAGCCATCGTCGACCGTCGTCAGCCCCGCACACAAATTCGTCCGGCAGCAAAGGAGTTTTAGTATCAACATCACGTTCAGGTGCTTAGTAGTTAGTAGTCAGTTAGTTAGTTTTAGTTAGTATTTGTATTCTGCCAACGATATTTAAATGCGAATCTCATTGAGGTGAATTTAATCAACAAAAAGAAAAAATTGCATTTTAAAGTCTTAACCGAAAACAAATACTAATTGGCTAAACAGAGATCACAACGGGTTCCTGACCCGAACGCTGACCAAACTTGATCGAACTCGATAATGGATGGGATAGATTTTTCGAAATTTTTCGCATTTTCGGATCGCACATTTTTAAATTTTTAACGAAAACTTTCTGATTTTGCAAGCATCGAAGCGATTCGGTCAGGTTTCGTATCGATTGTGTCACCCTTTTGTGATCTCTACTAGCTAACTAACTTTGCTAACCAGGTGCGGCAAGATCAGCGGCCATTTTGCTCATATCGCAACATTTCTGTGAGTCTAACATTTCTGCTACCAATAAAAACACCAGTGACGAGAATATGAAGAAACACTTGCAGAAACAATTAAAGCATCAACGCCAACAATTAACTTTAGAATTACCTCCGAACACGGCCCGAATTTTGACTAAACTCTTAAAACGTGGCTTGGACAATTGCGACGATGACTTGAATAGTCTTGATAATGGAACGATTGAAATGGGCGTACTTCCATCGCCAGCCGAAAGAACGCCAAAAGTCGCGGTAAAATTTCTGATTTGTTCTCTGATTTTATTACAAAACAAAAAAAATATAGAGAAAAAAAAAACGTTAAAACAACAAAACATTTTTCAAAAAATAGATATTTAATTTGATCATCGATGCCATATGCCATGAACAACAACTAAAAAAAAACAATAACACAAATAAACGAAAACAAAAACAAACAAATAAAAACTACCATCCACAGCATTTCGATTTTCGATATATGTTGGAACAGCGCCTCTTTTGTTGACATAATTTTTGTTATGTTTGTCAGCTTCATTGTTGTATTCGTACATGTAATCTGTGTGTTGATGCAGTTGATTCAGTACTGTATTTGATTGAAGTTCTGTATCATTTTTTTTTTAAATTCAATTCTTCCATTTGTGCTGTGTCTGAGAATTGAAAGCAAATCGACAGCCAATTTTATGGAACACACACAAGCATATCATTTTTATTTTTAATATTCTATATGTCTCGAACAAAAAAAAACATGTTTTGATTTTAGTTTTATTGCTGTTAATGTTGTTGATAAAGAAAATGAATCGTATCAGTTTTTAAAAGTAGGTTTCTTTTTCGACGTTTACATCGTTAAACATGATGTTAGATCTTTTTATATTCTTCATTTGATAAAATGACTAACGCATCCCATTTCATTTGAATGTAATTTTCAATCATTATTTCCAACTTTTTATTTTGACATCTCAAATCATTTCATTTATTTTCAATTGAATGAAAAAACAATGTCTTCCTTTTATCTGTTCTATGTTAACTTTGTAAAATTCTATTGTAGCAATTTGATAAAATTATTTCTAGAATCATTCAGTTCTTTATTTTCTCATCACCCGCCATCCCCGTGTTTTGTTTTTGATTTACACATTGTGGTGTAGAAAGTTTAAGTTCCATTTTGAAATTCCACACGAAAAGAAAAAAACAATGAGTCACAGTTAAAAAAACAACTAAACAGGCGAACAAGTTAAAATAGAATTGAAGAGATGAAAAGGCACGGAAGTTGAATTAAAAACAATTCGAGATTTCTCCCCCAGTTCCTTTAGATTCACTGTGATTGTTCTCAAATATTAGGTTTTATCAGATATTGTGTCCCAGATTTTCCCACATAAATGAATTTTTTGCTGCAAATGCAAGCTATTTCCTTTCTCATCAATCATCAATAACAACGATGACGACGAAGACGACGACGACGACTATACAACCACGACGGCGACGACAAAACTCAGCAAAATAGTAAATGTGCTTGTTGGCCAAATGCCAATTAATATGTTGAAAATAAAAGCGCAAATCAAATAAGATTGAAAACACACCAATGGCAATTCAAATAAGACAATCACATACATATGCAAACAATTTATATACTCCCCCAATGTTTCCATCCTTTTCAATCAATGATACATTATATGCATTACACATTTCATTGCAAGTGAGATAAAGAAAGTAACATTTAATCAAGAAAAATTCATAATAATTGAGGAATAATACTACAGAAATGTAAGCACATTGAGCAATATGGCGGTGATGTTTTTTGGTAAAGATTTTGAATTTTCAATAATTTTTTGACTCCCTTTGTCTTTTCACCTTTGGTTTCATGTAAATTTTGATTTGTATTTCTCATTCTTTTTTGCCCATAGTTTTCAAATGTTTTTTTTTTTTATTTCCACTCATACACAAATTCATTTCTTTTTCTCTCTCTCTGAATTTATGCAATTTTTGTGGATTCGATTCAAATAATTTCAACATCTACTTTTTAAACGAATGAAATGGGCACCCTTACATTTTAATCAAAACACGGAGAATATTGCATTCATTTTTGGCTGTTGTTTTTTTATTTGCAGCAATTTTGTTTTTCTTCAATTTTTCAGTTGAAACTTAAAGGATAACTTAGCATGTGCATTCATATTCTATTTTTGTTCACTTTTGATCACAAAATTTGTGGGTAAATTGTTAGCACATGCATTTTCATTGTTAGTTTTTTTTTTCATCTCGATATTACTAAAAACAGAAAATAAAAATTGAATTCAAACATTCTACACTCTTACACAAACACATACATATTGAATTCGATCAAAGTTGTCATTTTCTTTTAAAAACTGCTCGGTGCATGCGTCGCATTGCATTTTCTTATGTGTCTCAACGTAACTGTGAGTGCATTTAACTAATTAAAAATTACACGCTCCAATCGCATGTTGTATTATTTTTACAGTTTATTTCATAATTGTTATTGTTGTTGTGTTGTTTTCTTTTTTTGCATCAAATATTTTCTTTTTCTCAGTAAATTTGTCCAAAAACAAAGGATTTACAAACTTATATTGGAGAGGATGGAACAGTGTGACTAATTTGTTTTTCTTTCATTCATTTCTAATAAGAATTTCTTTTTTGAATAATGTTCAACGTATAGGTTCAAGAAGACCATCTCTAGCATCTGTGCACAGTACAAGCTCATCGATAAAAAGCTATGGTGCAGCCCGTTTTGAAAAAGAGCTTCAACAAAAAGAGATGCGCCAAGAGATGAAACTCCGTTTGACGCGTTTACAACAGCAGCAACAATTAATACAAAATAAACCGCATATTATAATCACTGATCCGCATGTAATCGGTGGCGCTATACCGAAAACAATCGCCTTAAAAACTCCTAGTCCGCTTACGCCGAATTCTCTGGATGAACTTTTACCGTGTGTCATTGAAACGGCCGAAGTAAACGACTATTTTTATTTGATTCATTTTTTTTTACTTTCATTTAATTTCATTTCATTTTTAGCCACCGACGCCAGTAAAACTGCATCGTTCAGAAGCATACACCGGTCTATGTAAATCAACACTTAGTGACGAGCTATTTAATTACAAAAAAACTACGTAAAGTTTAGTCGTAATCCATTTGTTTAATTCATATACTTACACACACACAAAAAACGATGTGAAATTCTATTTTAAAAAAAGGTACTGTGTACACGATTAACATTCATTTGAGGAAATTAAAAAATAATAATAATAATCGATTTTGATAAAAATACGAATTGAAAATCGATTTTCAATATTCTATGGATCCAAATAAAACTATAAACACATCAATTCAATCGTGGAGTACATGATCAAACCATAGACTTCCCTTTCGGTTCGTCATTACATTATTTTCCAGTCAGCAAACAAACTCAACACTGACCAACATATTTTGAAAAAATTATTCAAATTGAAAAGATTTATATTACATACAAATACACATAGAAAGGCAGAATTGATGACAATGTATGTTACAAATATGGCTTTTATATATGTATGAAAATAGGAAACCAAAGAATTTGATCTATGTAAGTCAATCAATGTATTTAAAAAAAAAGAGGAAGAAGTCGCACAATTTATGTTTTTTGTTTTTCATTTTTCTCTTCGCCAATTTCAGCTTAACATTTTTCCTATGTATTCAATATGCTTTGACGTTAATACAGATAAATTTAATTTTTTGCCATAAATGAATTGCATAAAGCTAATGTGATCGTTTCAACCATGATCGATTGGAGAATTAGAATTTTCACTACAATACAATGAATTTAATTCTATTTTTATTCAGTAAAATTGTATTTAGGTGCTAACGTTATTTTTTATGAATACAAACAAAAATAAACAGGGCGGGTTGCTTTTCAATCTCTACGACTTTATAAAGCGATAACTATGTGTTAGACTATTATCAATGATTATTTGATTGGACTGAACTATACGATGTTGAATAAAACGGAGACAAAATTCCGATTTACTTGTTTTTCATTTCCGAAATTTTGGATTTAAAGCTTGGAGAAAACAAACCGTGAGGCTCTCTTTCTTTACAGTCGCTGCCGATTTCTTTTTGGTAACAAGTTTATAAACAAAAATTATAAAACAAATTCGGCGACCGATTTGAATCATATGCTTTGGATTGTAGGCGATTGTGCAGCCTCGACTCGAAAAATTAAAAAACAAGTATATGGTAAAAAGTTTATATGAATGTAATTTGAGCTTTGATAGTGTTCTCTAACAAAACGTCAAAATATATCATTCGAATCAGATGGTAAAGAAGTATTTTAACCCAGGATTACTTTGAGTTTAGTATCTTATCAGAGCAACTACTATCGTTGATAGTTAAATACTGCATTTTTTATTTCAACCAGATGACGGAGCCAATTTAATTGGAACCAAATGTTGAGTCGGTACTTGGTATTTGTACAACTAGATCAAATCGCCATCAATAGTCTCTATTCCATTCAAAAATCTATTGAAACAATGCAAATCAATTTGAAAAGAAACGCATAATTTATAGGTATCCTATTGATTTTACTTGTGTGTAAAACATTTTCATAAATTATTATCGATTATCGCACTTTCATCTACGGCTACAATTTCTTATCATTTATAAAAGTTCAGAGAAGATTGTTTTTCATTTCGTTTCAGTTAATATTATGGTAACTTAGATTTAATTTACATTCATAACAATTCAATACTTTGTCAATTTTGTGTAAGCATTTGGTAAAAGAGAACAAAATCGGTCTAACTCAAACTTGATGGTGATGAAGAAGAAAAAAAATTCTATATTTACAAAAATTTCTGCACTCAGAAATGAGGCGATTTTTTCCATTTTCAGACACATGCAAAACATGTGTTTGACGAATTTTCTTATTTAGAGTTTGGTAAAGTATGACTGATAAACCATTCCCAATGATGATGCGGCAAACCACACAAAGCACGTCCACCAAGTTGCAAAACCGAATAGACCTCGATAAACATCGGTCGTAAATACCTAATAATCATGCGACAAATAGGGAAATTTGAAAAAATGTTTTCTTTTTTTAATTGAACTTGAATTGATCAGTTTTTTTTTCTTCTGAAAAATAAATTACCGCTTTTAAACCATGAAATGACGATTGTAACTCTTTGGCCGATTCAAGAATCGTTTTGTCAAGAGATTCAATTTGATCATCTTGAAAGCCATCCTGGAATCCATCTTCATCCAATGGGGTAATGACAATCGATTCTTTCGGTGGAACTGTAATTGTTACATTGCTGGTATTATTTGCAAAGAGATCCGTCCAATTGTAACCACCCAACGTTTTGTACATCAATGCGAAGTATAAACACATTAAAATCGGTGCAACATATTGCAGCGTCACCACACACAAATAATAAAATATCGATGCAATCTATCATTTAAATGAAAAAAAAAAAGAAGAAATATATTTTTTCATATGAATACGCACACACCCATTAAATTAACTCTCGAATGGAAAACGAACCTTTTTCTGTAAATCAACATTTGTGATACGGCCCGCTTCTTTTTTCTGCTCTTCCAAGCGATCATATGCCAAATTCAGATACGCTTGCAAATAGATTGGCATCAATACCAAACGCAAAACCACGGCAATTATTATTAATAGAAAGCGTATTAAATCAAATGCTTGCGGAGTCAACCTAAAATATTTAGAAAATTCAATACAAATTAGACGTTTTCAATAGTTTACATTTTGGATGAATGGATACAAGTAAAAAAAACACGCACATTGGTTGATTGAAGCCAGTAAAAACGCGATTTGTTAAATATTCACGGCTAATTGGTTTAATCCATAGGATTACAATGATAAAAGGCAGCACAAAACTGACATTTAAAATAAATTGCAAGAACTTATTCTCTCGACAATATTTTAGTGAGTCCCAATGCATACGTGCCATGCGAAGACCGGGAAATGTAAAAATCGCACCAAGAATACCACAAGATACAGCAATACAAAATTTAACGATAATTTTTGATGCGGGCCCCCTAAAAACGTATAACATTTTTAGAATGAAATGCATACAACGTAGACATGTAAAAAGAAACTTACGATGACGAAACTCCTCTCTCTTCAAGATAAACGGATGCACTTTCGTTGAAACTTTTGTACGCTTGTTCCAAGCCCACTTCAAGTGTATTTTCGTCGACAATTAAAATTATCATTGCCACTAATAAATACACCAAACCAGTGACAATGCACGTTGAACGTTCGCCGATCGATTCATCACTTTTGAAATATTGCACCGTTAGTGAAATGAGTAATTTACTGGAATATAAAAAACTTTGAATCAAAACGAAAAGCAACGATCGGTCCTATGTTAAAACTCACAATGCAAAAAATATAACCAATAGACACCACATCATACTCAAGTTGACCTCTTCTCTCAGCGGTATATAATAATGATAAATTTCCGAAATGACATAAATGATGCAGGCGTAGAGACTAAAATCAACCAACCATTGATATTCCGTATAGTATCGCAGATTGATAACATCATAAGGTGTCACTTTGGTTACTTCTAATTGAATGTCTAAATTTCTTGGAACATGAAAGGTATGCGATTTCTCATTGTCATTTCCATTACTATATTTACTATGACGATGCTCTTTTTTCGTTTTGTGCATACTTTTTGGCACACCTAAAATATTTTAATCAATCGAAAGAGAAAAAAATCAATCAGAAAAAATACATCCAGTACACTGTGCACGCACACATGCACACAATCAATTGAAGTATTACTTACCGGCAAGAGTTTTTAACTCATTATCGGTGGGATGAAGAAATCTTATTAGACCGGTTGAGCATAGAATCCATTTGGCCAATGAATAATGTGGACTCAATTTTTGTATCACACTGACCATAATCAATGTCATCACCAATTGTGCGCCAAGTAAAGCCTGATTTGTAACACATTCAAGAATATATTGCATTATAAAACGTTCAATCATTTTAGTTGTACGGTTTTTTTTATGTGCGATTAAGTTTATGCTAAATAAATGAATTGAGGCAATGTTAACTATTAATATATGGTGCCTATTGGCTAAGCAGGATGAAGTTCATTAACACCATTTAGAGTGTAGAAAAATGACACTAATTAACTGTTCACATTCGTATTCTTATGTAAAAATAACATAAAAATAAATTGTGCACAGAATTTTTTTTTTAACATAACCAAACACATAATTTTCAATGAAGCACCAATTTTTTTCTCTTCTTTTTTGAAATTAAACTTACCATTGTTTGCTGTTTTGATTCGAAATAAAAGGAAATTCAAAATCGATAACAACTATAGAACATGGAACCGATTTAAAAAAGAACTTAGTTGAAAATAATAAAATGAAAAACAACAACTTAGAAGCAAATGCGGAAAGACGTTAAATTTCGTTCGAAAATGTATCCTGTTTTGATGTGATAGCCTCAGAGATTTTCCTTTAACTTTTCGATCGAAAATCTATTTATAAACGAACGAAAATTTTTGGGAACATTTTTACTCCGATTTATTGTGCCAGACCTGGGCAACTGAACTTGACAGATGCGTTTCTTTTTGTTCGGTAAAAACTCGGCTAGTCGGCTAACTAGTTATAATTTGAAATGTCAAATTGAAAAACATTCAGAATAGATTTGATTTAAATGAAAAATGATGCACCATTCATTTAATTGACATCGGCCACATTGTTGTATTTAAATAAAATTTTATCGCTGAAACAACAAACAAATGTGTTTTACTTCTTATTTGTATTTTGGATAAAGAAGAATCAATGAATAGGCCGCAAAATAATATTATCATACACGCATGTCACGCATACATGGTAAATGTCAAATCGAAAACTCACGCACGATGGCGGCCGCATCATCGAATTTTTAGAAAAAGGCCTATGACATTTTGACGATGGGCGAATCACTGAAAATATACGATTGTTTCATTCATTACGGTTCATTATAAATGTTCTAGTATTTTATCATTATTTTCAATTCGTTTTCAATATTGTTTTCAATGGTTTTGTGCTACATTCAGTTAAACACGGTAAATGTTTTATTTGTGCAGTGTTCCTCTCACTCTCTCTCCGAATATCATCGAATGTGAGAATTCTACAATGATTTTTTTTTTGTTTTATTCGTTCGGCTAAATACAAAAATCCAAATGGATATTTCTGTTATGAGATTTATGACAGTGCAAAACAAATGAAGAGTCACCATTTAATCTATGTGTTTGTTTTCTATGTATCATTGATAGTATCGAGAGATAGAGAGAGAGAGAGGAAATAGCAGAATTATTACTGTTATTGTTGTTATTATTGTTATGATTATCTGAGCATTCATTTATAAGTATTTGCGTGTATGTATGTGTACAACAATGTGTGTGCGGTATTCATCAGGGCGTTGCACAAATTTACTTCTTAACTTCAATTTGATTTCCATTTGTGCAACTATCTGATAACACATTACACCGATGAGTTGCAAGTGATGTGCATAAACATACACACACAAATAAATCTCATACATTTGTTAATATTTACATTTTCCATTATGTTCAATTAAAAATATTAATGGAAATCTATTTCTATCCCATGTTATTTTCGGTACTCTCCATCATATGTGCAACTGGATGTACGGTAATAAATGTAACTTGCAAACAGCGATTCGATTAAAACGAAACAGATGAGAACACATTTGGATCTAAGCCGGAAAGTTGGTCAACCATTGAATGTAGCCTCAATTTTAAATTGGCTTTGAAACATTGAAGTCGAAAAAAAATAAAATTCGTTTTTGTGCAATTTGTGGTGTGTTCAAGCAATTGTGTGTTTTGTTGTGAATAATTGAGACATAAAAATGGCTCGGTCATTGAATGCAAGCCAGCAAAAGATTTCCGAAAAATTGGTCATTCTAAACGATCGCGGTGTCGGAATACTAACGCGTATTTACAATATAAAAAAAGCATGCGGTGACACAAAATCAAAGCCGGCATTTCTGTCGGATAAATCGCTGGAGTCGGCAATTAAATTTATCATCAAACGTTTTCCAAACATTGACGTCAAAGGTTTAGCGGCCATTGCAAACATCAAAACGGAAATCATTAAATCATTGTCATTGTATTACTACACGTTTGTTGATTTACTTGATTTTAAAGATAATGTGTGCGAAATACTCACCACAATGGATGCTTGTCAAATTCATTTGGATCTAACGGTGAACTTTGAACTAACACGAAACTATTTGGACTTGGTGACAACATACGTTTCATTGATGGTATTATTATCACGTGTCGAAGATCGTAAAGCCGTTTTGGGTCTATTCAATGCCGCCTATGAGATGCAACACAATCAAAGTGATCAAAATTTTCCACGTTTGGGCCAAATGATTATTGACTATGATGTGCCGCTTAAAAAACTCTCCGAAGAATTCATTCCACACAGTCGCCTATTGTCAAGCGCACTGTTGTCACTCACTCAAATTTATCCGATGCGTAATTTATCGGCAGAGAAATGGCGTGAATTGCAAATTTTAAGTTTAGTCGGTAATCCGGCAATGTTATTGAAAGCATCGAAAACCGATACAATGTCATGCGAATATGTATCACTCGAAACAATGGATCGATGGATAATTTTTGGTTTGCTACTGAATCATCAATTGTTGGGACAAGCATCGAACGCAACGCAAATGTGGATTTCAGCACTTGAATCAAGCTGGGTGATTGCATTGTTTCGTGATGAAGTCATTCATATTCATCAATACATTCAAAATACATTCGATGGCATGAAGGGGTACAGTAAACGTATTTCAGAGGTTAAAGACTGTTACAATCATGCCATTCAAAAAGCAAGTTTTTTGCATCGTGAACGACGTAAGTTTTTAAGAACGGCACTAAAAGAATTGGCACTTATTATGACCGATCAACCTGGACTATTGGGACCAAAGGCGTTGCTGGTATTCATTGGCCTTTGTTTTGCACGTGATGAAATTCTTTGGCTTTTAAGGTAATTTCTGTTTTTGGTTTGGATTTAATAATTTGATTAATTTAATTAATGAAATGTTAATTTATAATTCGATTTAAAATAGACATAGCGAGAATCCCCCGATTGTGAAGAGCAAAGGAAAAACAACAGAAGATTTAGTCGATCGTCAGTTGCCCGAATTGTTATTCCACATGGAGGAATTGCGCGCTTTGGTTCGAAAATACAGTCAAGTCATGCAGCGTTATTACATTCAATATTTGTGTGGTTTCGATGCAACCGATTTAAATATTCGCATTCAACAATTGCAAGTGTGCCCCGAAGAGGAAAGTCTATTGTTAACAACGCTTTACAATACAGCCGCTACCGTATCTGTGAAGCAAGTTGAAGAAAATGAAATTTTTGATTTTCGTGCATTCCGTTTGGACTGGTTCCGTTTGCAATCGCTAATGAGCATGTCAAAATCAGCCGTTCGTATAATGGATCACGTTGAAATGGCACGTCTCATTGATTCAATGGTGTTTCATACAAAAGTTGTTGACAATCTCGATGAAATTCTTGTGGAAACATCGGATTTGTCGATATTTTGCTTCTATAGTAAAATGTTCGAAGATCAATTTCATATGTGTTTAGAATTTCCAGCACAAAATCGTTATATCATTGCATTTCCATTGATATGCAGTCATTTTCAAAATTGTACACATGAAATGTGCCCGGAGGAGCGCCATCATATTCGTGAGCGTTCATTGTCTGTGGTGAATATGTTTTTGGATGAAATGGCAAAAGAGGCTAAAAACATAATAACAACCATTTGCGATGAACAGTGCACAATGGCTGATACATTGTTGCCAAAACATTGTGCCAAAATTCTGTCAGCCACAGCTAGTCGAAAAAATAAAGGCAAGGGTAAAAAACATTTGGAAGATATTCGAAAGCCAGGCGATGAAAGCTATCGGAAAACGCGCGAAGAACTAACAACAATGGATAAATTGCATATGGCATTAACTGAACTATGCTATGCAATCAACTACTGTCAAACAATCAATGTATGGGAATATGCATTTGCACCGCGAGAATATCTGTGTCAACATTTGGAAAATCGCTTTTCACGCGCTCTCGTCGGTATGGTAATGTACAATTCCGATACAATGGAAATTGCCAAACCATCGGAATTGTTGACATCGGTGCGTGCATACATGAATGTATTACAGACAGTGGAAAATTACGTACATATTGATATAACACGTGTATTCAACAATTGCCTGTTACAACAAACACAAGCCACTGATACGCATGGAGAAAAATCAATTGCATCACTCTACAATACATGGTATTCGGATGTTTTGTTGCGTCGCGTAAGCGGCGGTAACATTGTTTTTTCAAAAAATCAACAAGCATTCGTTAGCATTACACCAGAAGGTTGTATCCCATTCAATCCAGAAGAATTTTCCGACATAAATGAATTACGATCGTTGGCCGAATTAATTGGACCATATGGCATTAAATTACTGAATGAAACGCTGATGTGGCACATTGCCAATCAGGTACAAGAACTCAAACGAATGGTTATTCTAAATAAAGAAGTATTAATTACATTACGCACCAGTTTCGATAAGCCTGAAGTTATGAAAGAACAATTCAAACGATTACAACAAGTTGACAATGTATTACAACGAATGACAATCATTGGCGTTATCTTGAGTTTTCGTCATTTGGCACAAGAGGCACTCGTTGATGTACTTGACCAGCGAATTCCATTTTTATTGAGTTCAATTAAGGTGGGTTATTACTGCGCAACAAACCATTACTCTTTTTTTACATTTTATTTATCGTGTGCAAATTATATATTTGTAGGATTTCCAAGGACATCTACCAATCAATGATCCGATAAAAGTAGTCTCGGAAATGGCATCGGCCGCTGGTCTTCAATGCAAAGTTGATCCAACACTTGCGAATGCATTACGCTCCCAGAAACCGGACAATGATGAAGGCGAACATTTAATCGCTTGTTTACTAATGGTATTTGTGGCTGTATCAATTCCAAAATTGGCACGTAACGAAAATCTTTTTTATCGTGCATCACTTGAGGCTCATTCGAATAATACTCATTGCATGGCATTGGCCATCAATAATATATTCGGTGCAATGTTTACAATTTGCAATCAAAACGATATTGAAGATCGTATGAAAGAGTTTCTTGCATTGGCCAGTTCATCGTTGTTGCGTTTGGGCCAAGAGTCTGACAAAGAAGCGACACGAAATCGTGAATCAGTCTATTTGTTACTCGCTCAAATTGTCGAAGAGTCACCATTTTTGACAATGGATTTACTTGAGTCATGTTTTCCATACGTATTGATACGAAACGCGTATCATGCTGTTTACAAACAAGAGCAAATCCTCTACAATTAAATTCGTAGCATACAATTATTTTAGTCTAGAGGCCAATCGATGTAAAAAAAAAAAAATTTGAAAACCAAAAAAAAAAATCAAAACCACAAAATTTAGATTTATTGTCCAAAAATCTCGGTACCGCAAACTACATGTACATTATAAATAGAAAAACACATGCAAAAAAGAAAAACAAACAAATGTTTCGGATAAAGAAGCACCCATTAAATCAATAAATTATGGTATTACATTTGAAACACAGCAATACTATATAGTATTAATAATAATTACATTAAATTATAGTATAAAGATAAATAAATACATGATGGTAATTAAAATTCACTTTTATAATACAGAGAATGACTCCGGATATCAAAGTTTAATACGAAAGCCTATTAACGATACACACACACACACACAAACATACAATGCACACACGGATATCAAAATTATTGTGAATAAAACCGAGGTGAAATAAATATCGGCTCCGGTTATGTGACCGAATGTATTTACAATGGGAAAATGTTAGTTTTTGGCATAATTCAAACTAAAAAAGAATCAATTGCAAATATTTAATGGAGACGCCAATATTCATTTACATCCAACTATCCATTTCGTATTCAAAGGGTAGTTGGTAACTAAAATTCGTACTCCGGATATCAAATTAAATACGAAAACACGTTAATGTTAATGACACCATAGAACATAAACAATAAAATTAATACAAAATCACCAGGCCAAGAGACAAGCCACGCTATCATTGAGAACCGAACGAGCGAGAGAGCGGATACAAATTTTACATTTAACTTTCAATATTTATTCAGAATTCTCTACTTACTTTCATAGTAATTCACCGACAATTACATTCGCGCACAAATAATGATAACCGTCGATGAGCACGAGATGGATAGCCATTGTAAACAATGATAGAATTGCGTTTGTTTAATTACAAGAGTAAATTGTTCATAACATTTGACCGCAAATTCGTGTGTTTTCGATTTGGAAAAAAAAAAAATCCTAATTATGACGAACACCCGACAAATCGCATCATATTAGCTCGTGCTGAAGAAAAACAATATAATCGATATGACGCGCAGCGCAGTATGATCATAATATCCACAGTCATTCAGAAAAAAAATAGTAAATTCGTCAGACACTAGATACAAATCATGCAATTAGTAAAATTCGTCGTGTTTGTTTTAGTAATTTAAGTAAAATTACGTAAGAGATTCCCATTGGCTATAAAATCAAACTAATCAAATCATATTTGCATTTTTTTAATGTTTAATTTTTCATTTGTGAATATCAATTATTATCAATTGACCAAAAACGAGAAAAAGAATATAATAAACCAAGGAAATTCCATTTATATATATACATTAACACCTGTTTGTTTTTATTTTATTTGAAAAGTCATGCAATTTACCTTCGGATGAGACGTTAACGGCACACTTTCAAGATTCAATAGACGTTGAGAATCAATCGATATTTCAAGCAATCACCGCGTTTTTTTTTAATGTTTCGTAAGCTTTTATTTGAAATAAATTTATTTATTGTGAGTATAGTTTCAAACTTTTACAATAATATTAACGAACAAAAAATATGAGTAAGTATTGACCATTAGTTTTGTGTTGTATATGTGTTTGTTGTTGACTTTGAAGAAGTTGAGTTCGACCCATGGTCGCCTCTATTTAAACTATAAATAAACTTTACCATCTTTCATATGTATATATACTATAGTTATAGTGTTTCGTCGATAGAACGAGTGGATAAGAAATGAAAATCTATTTCGTATTTATTTATACATACAGTATATATCGTTGAGATGAGATTTCTAAATGGTTGATGTGCATCTTTTGTTTTTAATTCTATTTATTTACTTGATGAAAACAATTCATCAATTGTTTCACACTTTGTCTGTTTTACACTTAAAGCTATAAATAAATCCATTTCCAAACAATTATCTTTGAAATTACATTTATGCTAATGTGTTATCACTAAGGGTGGTTGCTTTTTATTCTATTTCATTTTTTTCTTCTTTTAATTGTCCCATTTACAATATATACAGAAGTTTCTTTCTTATTTTCTTTCTTTATTTTTTTTTTTTTAATTTTTCTCTAAAGGATATTGATCATAAACATTTATGAACTAAAATTAAATTCAACATTGTGATGAAGTTCTTGCATATATCTGCTATATTTATATATATCTAGTGATTCAATGCTCTTTTCCTCTCTTCGCATAAGTTATTCAACAGATATATATGTATATAGTTTTATGCGTATTTAAGACAAGGGAGTTTATGTTTCATTACATAAAGTTTCAAATGGGTTTTTGTTTCCATTTAATTTTGGTTAGTGAATGTTTCGAGAATTTAAGTGAGACTCACTCTCACTGAGAGAAAAAGAGTAACAGAGATGGAATCTCAAAAATTTTATTTGTATTTTCATAAGGCACGACTCTCCATCAAAATTAAAATTAATTGGATTCTCCTGTTTAGATTAGCATTTTTGTTTTGATTCGTTTTTGTTCAAAACACTTTCTGATAGCGTGGGACAATAAGAAATCTTAGCTACATTGCAAAGCAGAAGATTGGTTTTTTTTCTTTTAATTTACCCTCCAACAAAAAAAAAGAAAACTAATAAGAAAAAAAAGAAATATGTTAAAATAATAAGATAGCTGAAAAAAAAAAGATTTTGGTTTTGGCTTTGGTTTCGGTTTGTGCCACCATATATAGATTTGATTTGAAAGTTTCGGAAGTGCTTATGTATGTCGAAAACACGGTAAAAAAGTTTAAAACAACGTTACTAAATGTATAGCACAGAATAACAATTAAGATAAATTATTTCATTGGGTTCCATACAGGTATAAAGTATATAGGGTGCTACACAGATTTATTCAAAAACTCAAGCGAAAGTATATGACATTTTTGCTGTACGATACACTGAATGGGACAAAGTTAACTAGTACTATAAGTATTAAAATATGACGAAAAGTACAAACAACAGGTACAAACCTGGGTGGAGGGGTGAAAAAGACAATTTCTTTCACTTAAAATGTTTAAATTGTTTTGTTTTTGTCCATGTTTTTTGAAATTCTTAACTTTTATTTTTTCGCTACTTTCGATCATATTTTAATACTCGTCGGTATTTTTGATATTTCAATACTTATTCGTCCCCCCGAAAAACAAGACAATTAATCAAAGAAAGACTATTCGATTGGTTGTAAGATACTGACGATGTTCATTTAGAAAGTTTAAATTCAAAAACAAATATAAATATTACAACGAACCAAAAGTATTTATGCAGTTTTTTTACAATAAATTTCCTACAGTCCAACTTCTAAAATCGAATAAAATTCTTTTAATTTCTCGGATAAATTGTGTTTCAAGGAAAATTCTTTAATATAACAAGAAAAAAATGTTCAAGTTTCCATAATAATTTTCTCGAACAAATGTTATTGGAATGGTGGAATTATAGAAACTCATTTAAATCCCATTTCATTGGTTGATTGGTTTTACATAAGACCACTGTATTGCCAATTTTTTCACTGCCACCTGTAATTTGTTTTGAAAAAAAAAAACGGTAACACCCGAATGTATATATATATAGTGAAATGGTGTGATATTGTATGTATATTGAATAGGATTCTTTTTTGTTAACGCAAACATGTTGAGATTCTTCAATCGTTTGCCATCCAACTTTGAACATTCAACATTAATTAACTAAGCTTAATGTAATGCTAAGCCATTTTTATGCTTCTATTTACCGTAACCTGAATACAGAATGAAAAAAAATAAAATCAGATCAACGTAAAAAAAAACCCAATCCAAAACCCCTTTTGTATGTTTAAGCTTTAGCAATCCTTTGTGATTCACGCACTTTTCGCGCCATCGTAAACCATTCCAACTTAGACGTAGAAATTATTGTCACGCTTTTTGTGTTTTATTCTCTCTTTTATTCATTTGAATATACCGATGATGCTTGTTTTTTCGAATATACCGCTATTTTGGATACACCGTTGATATAGACATATACGAGAGAAACGATGTGCCGTTAAACATCGTCGATGAGCTCATCTCCGTCCAGTGTCCGACCATGTGCTGGCATACTATCATCTATAACATCTGAAACGTTATCTAACCTGGATGATGTGCGACCAAAATAGAAAAAATTATGTTAAATGCATTAAACGACATTTTTTTGTTGCTTTTGAACAACAATATTTGAGCACTTTACACAAAGTCTTTTGATATTTAAAAAAAAATCGAAACGAACGGATACACACAAGCGAGCGAAGCAACGAGAGAATGGACAGATAGAGAGAGATAAAAGAGGGAATTATTTTTCGTTCAAGCTGTTTTATTTGTACTGGGATTATTCTCTACTAATTTTACGCCACATTGACATTACAAGTATAGTCATTCTGCATCCATTGAACATGTCAGGCATTTGCTTATAGCATCAATAAAAAGCAGGAACATTTTTATGTGTCAATTTGTTTAGCTGCTGTGTTGTGTATGATTATTCTCTCACATATAAAATGCCTGGCCATGACATTATACTGTTGGAAATACTCTGACCAGCGCTACAACAAATTGAACACGGGACTGGATGAAAGGAATTGTAGATATTTGTCGTGCGACCGAATTCAATTTAATTTAAAATGACTGAAATAAAGAGTGGTGACAATCTTATTTGAAATCACTTCGAAAATCTTTAATTGATTTTAAACGAAGATTAGAAGAGGAATGTATATACACAAAATATCTAAGATTAACGTCATGCATCAATATGAGAAATGACTGACTTTGGCATTGAATAAACAATGGAAATGATTTTTGAAAGCGAATGCTAACATTGGAAGCTTGAAGGAAAGAATACGAACAAACATACATATATACGAAAATGAAATGAAAAATCAATGTATTGGCACGTGAATAATAGCGTACACCTTCCTTTGTTTACACTGAATTTAATGTCATTTTTATAAACAAAAAAAGATTGGCACGCGAAAAGGTGATGATGAAAAAGCAAAATCAATTATTGTCAGCTCTATATGATAAAATAATAACCCTTGGCAGGCATTGTAAACGACAGCGACGATTGAGCGTTGAAAATTTAAAGCAAAAAAAAACTCTTTCGCGTTACTCGCTCCCCCTCTCCATCTAATAGATACTATTTACGTTAGATCTTATAATGTGTCGAAAGTATATCGCGATTCGTATGCAAAGAGCTGATGTATGCTTACACTTCTCGCCTAATTGAAATGAATAAAATCTAATTGATTTACCGTTGGCAAAATACTTACTTTTCGAAATATTCACGATTGGTGGGCTGTTTTTGTAGGAGACTTTCACACTTAATCGTATTACTTTGGTAACGAAAAACGGTGAAAAGTCGCAGAATGGCCAAAACGAGCAATTGGATACCCACAACGGAGCTTAGCCATAATGAATTCGGCCACATCAACAGTGCAACGCCTAGGGATATGTAGAACGGTGACAATCTCCATCCACTTAAAAAATTATTTATTCGCCTACAGCACGAACAATATGCGGCCGCATCATTTCTGTAATAGGACAACAACGATGACGATAACGAAGACGCCAACAGCAGCAGATATGAATGTGAATGAAAAAGTAGAAGATGGATAAAATAGATAAGAAGAGAAAGAGAAGAATTGACTAACACAAAAAAGGACCATATATAACACATTCATCACAATATCGTTGACAAAACTTACCCGCCACTTAGCAAATCAACGAACAGGGTGAGAACCCATTTTGTTTCCAGAATGAAAACCACAATTGAAGCAAAACTACGAAATGAAACAAAGTATATGTGTATGTGTGAAAATGCACTTTTACATTTAAAATATTTCGAATGGCTGTGTCTGTGTGTTTCGGCCAGTGCCAATTTGGCAAATGTGAAAACAAAGAAATTCGATACGAATATAAAAACTGAAGTGAACAAATGACTTACATTAAATATATTCCGGCTGGTTTACCATGATATTCAATATCTATTCCAACTCCAATTAGAACTGAAATGGCAAGCAAAAAAGAAACAAGGACATTACGACAATTTTGCGTTGTTGTAAGAAAACTTTGAATGCACCTTTTTCAAGCTTAATATAAAATTTCAATAAAAGAGTATAGAAAAACCACAGAGTGTCTGAAGTTTTAGCAGTGAAATAAACTAGAATCTCTTGATTTGATTATGAGTTACCAAAAATTGCGAGTTTATTTACGTTCAGAATGTTGAACTACAAATGAGTAGAGTGAAACTTTTCAGGATGTTTTTGCGCTTTTCATCTGCACTTATTCACATATATATGCACACACACACACATCAAAAAGAGTTAAAAAAAAAATAGCATAAAACAGCATCGGAACAAATGAATAACAACACACTCATAAATAGAAAACTTGATGGGAATAAAATTTATGATTGTGTACGATTCGCACTTAAGATAATTTGGTTTTCAAATTCAAATCGAGATATGAGCAAAAGAGGTTCGAAAGAGTGACCAAAAGAGATCCAGAGAGGGAGTGAAAAGTCAAACGCCAAAAGGGTCGTTTTTTTAAAACTTACCACACTAGCAATATAGTATGTAAATGTTGTGTAAACTTTTCGTCGGGTTAGCGACGAGGGTGTGTATATTTTGTCGAAATTTTTCCGAAAAAATTATTTGAATTCGTCGAAAATTGTTTGTTGTTGCTATCAATTCAAGCGGTATGCTAAATAACCGTATTTGTATTTTAGCGATGACATTTATGTATTTGCGTTCACATAAATCACATGACCAAAATGTATTTACCATCTATTTAATTAGAATGGAATTGTTTGAGCTTATGGAATTTATTCAATTTTCGTTGTGTTTTTTTGGCGAACAAAAAGAAAAGACGAAGAATTAAATTTGTGATTACTCATCCGAGGAATGTTCCAACGTTCGGTTCGATGTTTGAATTGCATTGTCGTGTTTGTTTATTCTATTTTTAATGTCTGGGCTTTAAGATGATACAATGATTTTCCATTTTGTAAATGGTATATTGGAGTGTAGAAAAGGTGTCGTATGACACCTCTTGAAGTACGATGAATCAAAAGCGCGCCGCCAGTTCACGACATTGCTCTCTCATCTTTGATAGAAGAAAAAAAAGAACCATCGAAAATTAGATTATTTTCTGAATTTCGTATGACTTTTGCTGTGTTTGTGCAATGTTTGGTCTTTTTTTCTGGGAGGCTAACATTTAAAATGACTGATGAATTCTTTTGCTCCATCTCTGACTCGTTTGACAAAAATATACAGAACCGCCTTTCCGATGTTACTGTTTCGAATGACAAAGATACTCTCTGTACAGCATGAAGTGTATATCAATGTATATGTAAAAATGTCGACTTAACATATTCGGTTGCTTTTTCTATAGTACAAAAAAAAAGAAATCACTGAGAAAAAACACAGACAGATACACAAGAGAATATACATACATAGCTGCCGTTGCCAGTAGAGGTTCATCATAATAACTATTTGAGAATGCCACAAACGACCAAAATAGATGCCACTATTTCTTTATAGTTTAATAAACGAGATACTGACATTATTTTGGCATGTTTTACAGTTCAAATTTCAAAAGTTCATACAAGCTCTATTATCATTGATGCTATAATATTGCTCTCTGTTTTTCCATTGCAACAACAATATTCTGTATGTTGAATGCCACAAATACCTTTTTTTATTCACCCCCAATCAAATGATACAATGATTTAATTTGTGCACCTCTTTTACTCTGTGTCGGTGTATATATTCCGGTTCCGGCAATATTATTTTTATTATTTTTAACGTGTTTGATACTTTTTTGTCTCTCATTAAGTTAATGTGATCTTTTAACTTTGGTCTGATACAAGTTATATAGGCGAATGTAACATTTTGTCACGTGCACACATCCGTTTTCATCGTCTGGTTACAACAGCAACATACACTGACACAGTAGGTGTGTATTTTCAATGATTTGTGTCCTACTTGTAGCTATTTCGAGCAATACTATGATGAATGGGCTTTCCATTGCTGCCCAAAGATTACAATTCGTATTACATGTGCACCAAACGACAAAAGCCAAGATGATAATAAAACAATAATCACGACAAAAGCAACAAACGGATAAAGAAATGGAATGGGAATGAGAGAGAAGAAAAAACGAGTACGCACATTCAAAACAACCGACCACCATTCATCTCGCTTGTATTTCTTATTGCACACATAAAAAGTCGTCAATGTAGTTCATTCCATGCCATACTCCTTTGTTTAATTCGTTTCGCTTTTTCGTATTTGCAATTTGTGTCATAGCATTATTCGTTTAATCGAAATTGTGTGCTTTTTCGTCGTTTGTTGCACATTGTTGTCGTGCTGTTGTTGCTATTATGTTCGTCCTGCGTCCGTTGCATACAGCTCATAATTACTAATGTCGATCTACGTGAAATGGATGACCATTTCTTCTCGGTTGTTGATATAAGAGCCAACCAATATACGCAAACAATTTCTTTATTGTGCACAATTTGCAGAAAGAATAATAGTCTGTAGAAATTCGTTTGCAAAATGAAACGAAGACCAAAATCGATCAAAAGAACTTGAGGATAAATGCGATGGAAAGTAAACGGAATTAAAAAAAACATACATACAGATACACATCGTCCTACCCATCAATTTATCTACGATGAATCGTACACACATGTGAATGTGTGCTCTCTCTTTCTCTTTTTCTCTCTCGTTTTGTTTATAATGTACTTTTTTTATATATTCTGTCAGATTTCCCACCATACAGTTAATATGTAAGTTACACAAACTTGGTTTACAAATACATTGTGATAGTTCCTTGTTGTTCATATTGGCGAACATAAAACATCGATATGCTTATGGTACAACCAAAGGAAACGTGCTTTTTTATCGGATGAATGAACAAAGCGACGAACAAATGAAGAAATGAGAAATCCGGTTGGAATGGAATATGGAAAATGTCATACCAAAAAGAAAAATATACACCTACAAAATGCATTGTGCGGTGTGTGTGTTTGTGTATGTTCTCATTCTATCAACAATTTTCAGCTCTTATGACAGGTGCTTTCCGCTATTTTCTCTGTTATAGTTGCAGTTGGATTGAAATTAATGAATGAAAAATATGTAAGAAACAACAACGTGATATAAAACATAAACAGATACACCAGCACACTATACACTCATTGAAACAATTTACCTGAAAGAAATAATTGCAAATGTACACGGAACACGATGAGTGACTGAAACACACAATAGATAAATAATACGTGTGTGTGTGTAAAATATACAAACTCGCACACGTTATGCAATGTAATCAAAAGAGTCTCGTCCACAAAGAGGAATACGAAACGACAGAAACATGATGGGGTGGAAAAAACGAAGCCAAATGTAAAATAATGACGGAAATTTCGTATGAATACTGAGAGAATAATAAAAGACGAATTGCAGATGAAATGACGATGGAATTCTATTCTACAGAGAATGAAAGAGATAGAGGGAGAGAAACGGGGTGAAGGAGAGGAACTTGTTTAAAATTGTATTCGAATATCAACTTTTCACAAATCTAGTTGTCAAAGCGTTCCGATTCTCATTTTTCATTCTTTTTTTCCCTTTCTTTGCGATTGATAAGTGAACACGGCAAGGATGAATTGTTGAATTGAAATAAAATGCGAAAGCAAAACAATTGAAGTCATTCGCATCAACACAAAACAGATTAACAACCTTATTTCCACAGAGATGGAGAGCAAGAGAGACAAAAATATAGAAGAAGTGATACAGGGAATTGGAATCAGAAGTGCAAAACAATAAAAACAACAAAATCAAATGGGAGGAGAAAAGATATTACAACGCAAGAATGTGTAATGCTTGTGCGAATAGCATTGAGAAATTCCGTATACATTTTGGCGCGCGAATCATAAAACATGCCAATTCCATACAAAAAATATATATATACATAAACACATACACAATTCAAAAAAAAAGCGGAAAAGACAGATAAACAGACGAAGCGAAGTAAACAGTAACGAAAAAGCATTTAAAAGCACACATCGATAAAAGTAAAGCACATGGCATAGACATTGTAGTTGCAGATGAGTGAGATTGAAATTAATACCGTTTTTGTTATTGTCGCTGTTATTATATTTAATTTTCACAAACATGATTGTGTTTGCGATTCACACAATTTGAAAGCTTAAATCGTCCGGAATGACGCAATAAATTGATAAAAAATTCTAAATAAACACGTCATATATGCGGAATATATAATTAACGGCTTAGGCTGTACAATTTAAGAAGTGCGGCGTTTTTTCAGTAGCTTTATTGTTTACTTGTGCTTTAACATAAGACAAGAGCCGAAAACAGACATCCGCAGTTAATTTACATTATTCAGGGGTAAACACATTTTGGCAGTAACCAATCGATTTACACAAAGTTCGTTTTATAATAAAATTTTCGCAATATGCACAACATATAAAGCGAAAAATGACGACTATAAAAGGCTGCAAAGCATGTGTCGGTTAAAAAATTGGGACGTTCAGCCAAATTTTCATACGTTCCATTATTTTAACTTCAAGATATTTGTGCACAATGCGTAACGGGCAGAATTCACGACTGAATTACTCACTTCATCCATCGAAGTGAGCCGTATCTCCTTTTGATATGTGTGTATCATTTTTTCGTCTTCGTTTTCTCACGATATTGGTGGTGTTGGTGTATGGAACACTGCTTGCACCCTCATACATTCATATCACATGAATATTTTCGATTTATTTAAGTCGACAGCGTGTGTATGTGTATAAAATTCAGCCAATTTTCTTGCTTGATTTATACAAGTAATAAAAAAGTGTTTTATTTATTTATATTTGAGCCACATTTTGGCGTTGGATGCCAATGGTTTTGCGTTTTTTTTTTACTTCTTGCAAATACACCATTATTCAAGGTCTTCGTTTCGTATTCCTGTGCAAACACCGCAAACCATTTCACGATAATATTAC